TTCAGATAAAAAAACAAGATTTGGTATGTTAGTATATGACATAAATTAGGATTGATTGACGTATTCAATTGTTTTCGGTCACTTACCGTTTTCCCAGAAATGATTACAATTTTTTGATTTTTAATTGGCACTCTCGGTATTTTTATACTTTATTCGATAGAAAATAACATTCTGAATAGAATGACAATGACATTATTAGATATGTCAATTTTTGACATTCTCGCTTATTAAAAATTTGTATTTTAAAATTGAATTTAGAGTGGCATGGCTATGTCAAAAACACTAATTCTTAATCAAGGAGCCTTGGAAAAATAGATTTGATCGTCTAATGTTGTGTCTTGTCCTGGCTAGTTAGAAAATGCTCAAGTCGTATTTTTAATCATATCTTAATTTTTTCAAATGGAATGAGGGTGACTCATTAGCATATTTGGAAAAAGCATTTTTTACGAATAATTTGATACTATACACTTGGTATTTCGAGTCAAATTTTCGTTACGAACCGCAAGTTATAATTTTAAATAAATCATATGCGAAAATGTCAAAAGTTGACATAAGATATGTCATTCTGTTCACAGTGTTAGTTTCTATCGAATAAAGTAAAAAATACCAAGGGTGTCATTTAAAAATCAAAAGTTGCAGTCATTTCCGGTAAAACAGGAAGTGACCGAAAACAATTGAATATGTCAATCAATCCTAGTTTATGTCATATACTAACATACCAAATCTCGTTTTTTAACTGAAAAAATAAAAAAAGTTATAGGGGTGAGCCACTTTTGGGACGCACCCGGTATACCTATATCTCAGCGGCGTAGCGTGGCGTTGATACAAGAGGATGTAATAAGTAACTGCAATTAGCATTTTACCAAAACAATAAAGTATTTTTCTTTTTGTTTATTAAAGTTTCTAATTTTGAAGTTACAAAAATAAAATATAAAAAATGTAACAGGTTAAAAAAATAGCAAATCAATTTAAAAAAAGAAATAATTTAGGTAAAAAAACAAAGCTATGAACGTATCTATTAGATAAAAGAGTAGACAAGAAAAAAATAGCCAACAAAAAAGTTTATTGAGTGCCTCACAACTAGTGATGGGATAACTCGAGCGAAAATTCGCTCGAGTACTCGACTATTGACACAACCGACATCGTTCGATTATAAACCAGCGATGCAAGTGAGCGACGAACGCAAGCGATCCTAGTATGAAATAAATTGAAATCCGGTTTTAATGTGACATACTCGATAAAAAGCTGAGTCAATTTTCTACATACATTACTTGTAGGGGGCGCTACATACATTTTTTTTAACTGTTTTGAATAGTAATAACTTTTTGTCCGTCCCTGTATTACATTACTGGGTAAAAAAATGTATATTTCCGTATTTTTTTGGATACCTTCAACCGTCAATCAACAAATCAACAAAATCCGATGCATGTGATCAACTTTGAGTGACAAGCGATGGCGACAGCGCGGCCAGATTGTGATGGATTTATGAGATGAATCTTAATTTAAAATTAATAACTAAATTTTAGCAATTAATTGATTATTGAGACTTATTTTACTTATTACATATTGGCAAAAATTAGTCCATTATGAAGATTATTCTAAGCATCATCAGCAGATGATTATAAACCAAAGTACAATCTACAAGTTGAGCGTTTATATACTCGCCCAGTGGGCACCGAGCAGGCGTGGCAAAAACTAGCCAACCGAGTCAGAGCCAACTGAGCGTAACAGTTAGATTTCCGCCACTAGAGTAGTAGGAACAAAGAACTTGAAAGGAATTGGACCGTTGTCTCTGTTCATACTATCTTTACATTTATTAATTCTGATGCTTTCATATGCATCTAATTGCCTGTAATTTGAGACTTGTTTAATTAATTTTAAATTATTAAGATCTATACAATGTTCTTTATCAACAATATGTTCGGCAACGCAAGATTTATCCGGTCTACCATATCTTATCTGAGCTAAATGTTCTTTAAATCTAGTTAATATTGATCTTCTAGTTTGCCCAACATATTTCTGATTACAATCTTTACAAGAAATTTCATAAATACCCGACCTTTCCAGTGGAGATGTTTTATCCTTTGGATTACCTAATAATTGTTGTAATTTATTATTAGCACTATACACAAGTTTATAATTGACATTCTTAAAAATTCCTTTTAGACCGCGGGTTAACTCTCTATCAAACGGTATCGAAAAATATTTAGACGTATCTTTCTCCACTTGAAAAGTCGAATTTTCAGAAATCATTAACCTATACCTACGTTTTCTAATTAATTTATCCAACTAGTGAAGGAGAATATCCATTACACTCAGCTACATTCCTAATGTAATCTCTTTTCTATTTCATATCTTTCGTTGGAAAGTGGGAAACTAAGTAATCTATGAACTAAGAAATTTAAACTAGCCATTTTATGTTCAACACTATGATGTGATTCATTAGGAATATATCTGCGTGTGGTCGTATTTTTCCTATAGATATCAAATTCCAGGCAATTATTAGCATTCCTAATAACTAATACATCTAGAAATGGTAATCTGTCGTTGTTCTCAATTTCATGAGTAAATTTAATGGAAGGAAAACGATTATTTAACTTAGAAATAAAATTATCTATGGTGTCTGAATGTGTGTCAAAAACAGCAAAATATCATCCACATACCTAAACCAAACTCTTGGAAAATACTCAAACTGATTCTTAGCCTCCACTTCAAAACTGCTCATGAATAAATTAGCCAAAAATGGAGACAATGGATTACCCATTGCTGTACCTTCCCGCTGTCAAAAAAGTTGTTATTAAATTGAAAACAATTTTGTTTCATACATAACGATGTAAGCTCAATATATTCAGTCACAGTTTTGTTGTCGAGACCATTTGCGTTCAGTAATTCCTTCAAGTAGCCTAAAGTATGTGGAATTGGAACACTTGGGAACAACGAAGATACATCAAAGGAGATCAAAATTTCACCTTTATTCAATGTTATATATTTAATTTTGTTAATGAATTCAATATTATTTTTAACTGAGAAGGAAGGTTCATGATCAGGTAAATCTTGGAACTCCCTTGATAACCATTTTGCCAAATTATAAGTCCGAGAACCTACAGCCGAAACAATTGGGCGCATAAAGTTCTCCGGTTTATGAATTTTTGGCAAAGCATACAATTTTGGTAATGAGGGATTGGATACTTGCAATTTCCTCTTTAAAGAAATATCAATAAGGGTGTTACATTCTTTTAGAGATTTTTTTAACGTCTGCTACCATCTTAGACAAAGGATTATTTTTCAAATTTATGTAAGGGCCATTATCGATTAAGTTGTTAACCTTATCGTAATAGTCTTTTTTATCTAATATAACAACCTTATTTCCCTTATCAGCTTTTAGGTAGAAACAATCTTTGTTATTGACAATATTGTGTGTGCTCCTTGTTAGATTTTAATCATTTATTTGAAACGATATTTTTTGATAACTGATTTCTACAAACCTCTCTTGTAAATACTTTAGAAGCCTCGGGCAAGTGCTGAATAGCAGTTTCAACACCAACGACGATTTCCTCCAAAGCGCTACCAGAGTTGGGCAATGCAAACTTTATACATTTGTTTAATAAACTGAGCTCTTGTTTATCAAAAGTCTGCGAAGAAATATTCTCTACTATGTTTGTCTCTTTGGAAAACATGTTTGTTTTTAGAGCTTTTTAATTTTTTAAACTTACTATTCAAAATGGACATTTTCTTAACGAATTTTGAATTGATAACCACAAACATATTTCTCTGAAAGAGACACCAACATTCATACTCTACATTAGTTAGCTAAGAAAGCTTATAAGTAAGTTTTTTGTAAAGTCCATAGGCTTCAATTTCAAGCCTACTTCGTTTACTATACAGAAATTTGATTTCTAAATCAAGCCATTTTTGTTTTGCAATTTTCTCTACCTTATCACTAACGTTACTTTTCAGAATATCAACTTTAATAAAACTAGGATAAACTGAATTGGCTTTGCATGATTTAAGAAACCAAATATCTGCTCCTATATACGGCCCCCGTATCTCCGTTATTATGGATGATATCGAAAAGGTGAAAACTGATTCTTGTAGAACTTTTTACGTAGAATACAGTGGCGTAGTCTGTTTTTCTACGAAAAAAATATTTTTGAAAATATGAACTAAAGTTATGTTTTTTCAAATGGAACACCCTGTATATTTATAAATCATGTGATCCGCTTTGATATGAGCTTCTCAAGTATATATATATATATATATATATATATATATATATATATATATATATATATATATATATATATATATATATATATATATATATATATATATATATATATATATATAAACAAAGGAAGTTATCGTGGAAACTATAAAAAAACGAAGAAAGAATTTATTGGGCAAGTCCACAGAAAGACCAGTCATGACACATGACTACCCGTAGACACTCAGTGTTTCTGCCTTCCGGCTTCATCAATACGGGAGGAATCAGCAACGATGAACTAGCGATCCTGAAAAAAGAGAAAGAAAAGGAGAAGCAAACGAGGCACAAAGGCGCCATTTGCAGCTGGTCCGGCAGTAGCTTACAATTTGAAGCGTTACTTGGCAGAAACCGCCGCGGAGGCGTTCCAACACACCTCGCCGCTATCACCCTGGCCCAGAGAAACAATAAACAAAGAAGTTATCGTGGAAACTATAAAAAAACGAAGAAAGAATTTATTGGGCAAGTCCACAGAAAGATTAGTCATGATACATGACTAAAACATGACTACCCGTAGACACTCAGTGTTTCTGCCTTCCGGCTTCATCAATACGGGAGAAATCAGCAGCGATGAACTAGCGATCCTGAAAAAAGAGAAAGAAAAGGAGAAGCAAACGAGGCACAAGGGCGCCATTTGCAGCTGGTCCGGCAGTAGCTTACAATTTGAAGCGTTACTACCGAAACCGCCGCGGAGGCGTTCCAACACACCCTCGCCGCTATCACCCTGGCCCAGAGAAAACAATAAACAAAGGAAGTTATCGTGGAAACTATAAAAAATTGCGAAGAAAGAATTTATTGGGCAAGTCCACAGAAAGTCATTACGACTAAAATGACTACTGATTCGTAGACACTGCTTGTTTTCCGGCTCGAGTCATGACGGGAGGAATAGCAACGATGAACTAGTGATCTCTGGAAAGAAGAATTGAAAGGAGAAGCAAACGAGGCACAAATGCAACCAGCTGCAAATGGCGCCTTTGTGCCTCGTTTGCTTCTCTTTCTTTCTTTTCAGGATCGCTAGTTCATCGTTGCTGATTCCTCCCGTATTGATGAAGCCGGAAGGTGAAACACTGAGTGTCTACTGGTAGTCATACTTTTAGTCATGTGTCATGACTGGTCTTTCTGTGGACTTGCCCAATAAATTCTTCTTTTCTTCATGTTTATATATATATATATATATATATATATATATATATATATATATATATATATATATATATATATATATATATATATATATATATATATATCACTCTATATTTATTTTCACTATTTACTACAATATTTAAAATATATCATTTTCTTATTAGTAGGCCGTGATAAATAACAAAATCAAAATGGTATTTAGTAAAATAGACATGCACATATTAAAATTTTATTTGGAATTGATATATTTTGCTTTTGAACTGTTACCACTGAACCTCTAAATATATTTTTCTCTTTTTTTTAACGGAATTTATTATAATGGGATGGGGTTGGCAAATATTTAAAAGCTTGCATTATTGAAGCGTTTTTCAGGTGTTCAACATCGTATTAGTTACCACGATATATTTCATATTTCAAAAATCTCCAAAATCAGAGATCGAGAACAGACAAATCCGGAAATCAGGGAGGCCATTATATGGGTACATTGGTTCCAATTCATTAATTTGAGAAATAATAATTTAACAAAATTCTAATATTTTCGTTGTGCATGCATAAGTTAAGTTGTGAGGGGGAGCCCCATGTTGGTGAAAGTATATTTCACGTAAATTAGCTAAAGGAATATTTAAAAGTTCCGATACGATAGCTTCCAAGATTTACAAATAGCGGTAGAGATTTAAGTTTCCTTAATATACAAAGAATTAATTAATGGCTTTCAAAATAAAACAAGAGACAGATAGCAGTATTACTCTTAATAATTCTTTAGTTTCTTTTATTATCAATCATGGCCTACTAAAAAAATGATCTTTTAATATGTTTTTTTTTTAAATTTTGCCTTAAATAATGAAAACAAATATAAAGTGTTATATATTTTTGAGAAGCTTATAACAAGCCAGATCATATAATTTATAAATATACAGGGTGTTCCATTTAATAAAACATAACTTTAGTTCATATTTTTAAAAATATTATTTTCGTAGAATAACATACTACACCACTGTATTCTACGTAAAAAGTTCTACAATAAACAGTTTTCACCGTCTCAATATCTTTAACAATAACAGAGATACGGGGGGTGTCCCAAATTGCAAAATTTTCAAAAAGACCCTGTAGCTCAGAAACGAAGAGGGCAATGAAAATTTTGTTTACGGCATCTTCCATTTGACAAAAAAGTGGTACAGGTATGTGCAAACCGCACCCTTGTATCTTCACGAATTACGGAAATACCGTATGATTTCAACCAAAATGGGACACCCTGTACATCTTACAACGCCATAAGTGGTAATAACAAGTAAGAGAGTGCTATTAACGCACAAACTAATTATCACAGAATTTAATAAAAACTGACTTTGAAAGTGGTATAATATGCTTATCAATCAAACTTACTTCTCTGACTCCAGTCAAGGGTCATAAAGGACCTTTATTGTCACGTTCTCGTTCAAATTCTTTATCAGGGAAGCTACAAGCTCTTTGCGTCGACTGTTTAAATGCTTCGACATATTTTCAACACACATTTTCAATAAATGCAATAAAAAAACTCGAAAATTTAATTCTTAAAAGAACTGTTTGTGCTTAAAGTGCAATTAAAAAAAAAAGACTATGAAAATAGGCAAAAAACGAGAATTACTCACAAAGATTCAACAATAACAAGATATACAAAATAATGACTGACACTAGGATAATTGTCAAATAATAAAGGACAACATTGCTGAACACGGCGCAATGTGACAAACATAGCGACAATAAAATTCGGTTTAAACTAATTTTTTTACAGCTTTAATCTAAATAAAATATCTGTTACAATCATTTGCTCTAAAAAGTAAAATGAAGAGCTGCTCGGTATTTGAAATTATACAACAAATTTAAAAATTTTTGCCAAAATTTCATTTAGTCAGGTTTATAGACTTTAGTGTCAATATCGATATGATTGATGACGTGCATCGGAAATTTGCGATTACTATAGCTTAATAGTGAAAGATAGTGTAAAGAGATTAAAGAGATACTTTCAATATAGCTTAATAGTTACTAAACTATTATTTTCATTTTTCCACAATTTGTTGACAATTGTGAAGACAAAAATTGGAAAAAAATGGAACACTAATCATACAAATTTAAATTATATCCTAAATCCGAGGACAAAAATTTGTAATTGAACTGTATAATAGAACTGGTATTGGATATTTTTTTTAGTTTAAACGAAAAAGACCCAGTTGTTGAATTCTCCAAGGACAAACTTATGAAAGTGAATTACCCCTCAAGACTTATATCACTCATAGCAGAAGTGAGACAATTCAAAGCCATGGGATACAGAGTTCCATCTTCTATAGACGACACGACAGAACATGCCAAGAGATTCATGAAATTTGCTCGTATACTCGAACAGGTTCAAATAGCTTCGTATTCTGATAAAAAGTAAACCATACTTTATCCGTCATGTTATTTTAGGTGTCAAATTTTCATAACACTATAGGAAGCCGCATGGTTCCATCCCAGAAACCTATGATGCTATCTAGTGCTTTGGAATTGTCTAAGATGGTTCAAGAGCAAGAAGTAGTGTCCTGGGATGATGAAAAAGCTGTGGAAAAATACGTAGACATCTTGAAAAAAGCTGTTGAGAAGTTATCCAGAAATAATAACCTTCTCACTTCGTATCATATTGACATAATAGATAAAGTAAGTATTGGATATGCTTAAAAAATCGGTCGAATGCATCTGTCCAGGGTGGCGCCTCTCATACGCCGCGGAAGCTCCAAGGAGAACGGTAGTTTATATCGAAATGAAATTTTTGCAGCATATGTAGGTTAACTAAAACATTTTATAAAAATATATAGAATTATACAGGGTGTTCCCAAAAATGTTACACATCAAAGTTGTGTTTTTTCTAATGGAACACCCTATATATTAGTTGATTTTCGGATTCTAGGAAAAAAATAAAGGTGAGTTTTATTAAAGAAACATACCTAAAATCTAAGTATTTTGACATATTTCACATTTTGTAAAAATGAAGAGTAAATTTTAAATTTCAAGAATAGCTACCTAAATTTTAGTTGACCTTGTATAGCTTGATATTTAATTACAGTAACCATTGTATGTTAAACCAAATTGAAAATCGACCCGAAAAGTTATACAGGGCGAGACAAAATTAATAAGGAACATTAGTCACTTAAAAGCAAGTTACTCCTTTATTTTAAATGGAACACCCAGTATATTATTACGGTGTTAAATGGGGAATTTCTATATCTTCAAAATATTATTGAGGTTGCCCACCCCTCAGACAAAGATTTTCCTAGATATTTTAATTTTTATGATTTTGCGTCAGTAGATCTTTATTATTTGAAAAAATATAGGGTGGCTGTGATATATCTTTTGTTAATTTTATAAAAATTAATGATTTTCGAGTAAATACTCAACGGTAATAAAAAGATACACGTTTAAAACATATTTTAATTATTACAGAACTAAAACTAGATATAAACCTATAATTATGTGACAAAAATTAGCTAGATGAAATCGAATGCTCAAAATGCTTCCTTTCCTGTTAACTGCATAAAATGATTGTCTTCTCAAAAGGATCTTTTCATTTTAAAACGCATATGTGGAGTTCTACCTCGAAAAGCAGCTACAATAATTTCTCTCATGTTGTCGACAAAAGTTTGTCGAGTTTTATATAGTTATTATTATTTATTTATATAGTTAGTTAATCCGGTGTTTTGCTATATTTAAAATTATTGAAATTTATTGTAAAGTTCAATTCACGTAAGCAAAATATTTCTTTGAAATAAGAGTGCGTCTATTTTTTTTAAGTTATATTTCATACTATTTTTTAATATTTTAAACAGGCGTGAAAAAATTCTGTTTATAATAAAAAATTTATAAATTATTAAAAAATTATATTTCCGATAGATAAACGAACTGGAAGATGTCAGCTTGTTAAAAGATTACCCCAAATGGAAAGATACAATGAAGGAGATAAAAACCGTCATGGAAACTGTTGAGAACAAAGGTTTCAAAAACATGCAATCATGGAAATCCGAAATTGATTCTAGGATAGGAGCCGTCCTGGAAGAACAATACGTCAAAAATCTGAACTCCCTCCACTTAAACTTGCAAGAGATTCGCGTGGACCTGGTCTACAGATCTGGAGTTTTAAATTTTTCCCCTAACCACTCCAGTTTGGAACAGATGTACGAACAACAGCTTAAGAGATATCTGGATATTCCAAAAACTTTCGAGGGAGTTTCTGATGATCGTGCACGTGTCTTTTCGGATATCATAGAAAAGTAAGTTATTTAAAAAATAAATAAAATAAATAATTGAGTGAGGTATGTTAAGGAATGCTGCATCTTTGGAGAATTTGACCAAGCGGAAAAACGAATTATTTGATCAGCTGGAGTCTGTTAAAAAACACTGGCAGTCGTGGCTTCAGTTGGATCATCTGGATACGAAGAAACTGACATCTTGGCAACATTGGGACTTGCATTTCAGAGCGTCAAAAACTTTTGGACAAGAAATCGCAAAATTGCCTAGGTAATATTTTTATTTTAAGAGTCTACTACGCTGTACTTTCGTGTCGCCCTCAGGGGTCGGGTAGAGCGGGTGTGTGGTCGAAGGAAATATATATTATATTTCACAAATCTGCCTAAGGCTTAGCCCGATCCTGTCGTGTTAAGCAATACCCAAAATTCAAAACACACGTGCTTTCATTAAGGCTTAATTAAGGTTTTCAGAGCTTCAGCATTTGCCATAAAATAACGAGCAATTTGTTACAAAACCATATAAATTATATATCACTGGAATCACAAAACTTCAGTCAATTTCCGTATTGTAACGGAATATTAAATTATCTCTTTATTTTCGAGAAAATTTAATCCAAACATAAGGAATATTTTATTTATCTTTAATTTTCTTCTCCATTTGTGTAAAAATGCCTAGCCAGTTTTACATAGAACTTTAAATGCCGAACGCTTATTTTGTTACTTTTTCGGACTAGTGAAATGGACTCTTAACTACGTGTAGTGTAAAATAAAAACACTAAATCACCACAATACACCAAAACACTTTTACTTTTTTTTATAAATTTTTTTTATAAACTCAGTTTATAATCATCTGCTGATGATGCTAACATGGTTAGCGAAACGCGCGTCCAGTGTAAAAGTAAAAGTGTTTTGGTATATTGTGGTGATTTAGTGTTTTTATTTTGCTGTGTAACACCAAAGGTTCCAACCCTCAACTGTAATCTACGTGTAGTGTGTTTTAATAATTATTAGTAATGCCACTCGAGATAATTAAAATAATTTTTATAATGTATTGTGTACAAAGTTAGAATTACCGATTTGAACTTATAAACATACAAATATGCTGAAAGTGGCTAAGGTAGGATGTGGCAACATTGCAAGGCCTTGATACACCGTCAAAAAATTAACGGAGAATGAACCTGCAGTACTAAAAAGCTTTTTAAAGTTTCTTGGAAACTGGCAGAAGAAATATAAAATTTCTCCAAAAAAGTCCTATGGGTATTTCGACACTCTATGAAAATCTACAAAATAAAATAGTTATTTTTGGAAAACACTTTAACAGAACGGTTTTTGTAGACTATATGTTTTAAAAAAATTGGCGCCGGGAGGCACGCATAGCCGCCCATTCTAAAATATGTTAATTAAAAGTTGGTAGGCAGTTCTTTTAGTTTCAAAGTAAAGGAATTTTTCCAATTTTTTTTTATCTTAAAAACTGCGACTTTGACTGATTTTGATGTTATTACAAATTTTGTTGCAAATATTATTCCTAATCTTAAATTGAAAACCGCGTTTCGCTAGCTACTGTAATTTTGGAGTTACGATTTTTTTAAATTTTTAACCCCCTTCCATACCCCCTTACCAACCCCCAACCCCACCAAAAACTAATGGCCAGATTCTCGGGTGCCACAGTATTTTTGTGCCAAATTTGGTTAAAATCGGTTTAGCGGTTTTTGAGTTATCGTGTTACAGACGGACAGACAGACAAACACCATGAAAATATTTTGTATTTAGGTCGTAACACAAATAACTCATTTTGAGTGATATTAAAAAAACTTCACTGCCGATCTTAATAGCTTACCATACCTGTTGGTATGGTAAATTAAAGTGTTCTCGAATAGTTGCATTTAGGTATTTTAAATAGTTGTTTTTTCTTTGTTCTTTGTATTTTTTTAGGACTTTTTTGGAGAAACGAATCCGCCACAGAGGTATAGACATTTTTTAAATATAAAATTCTCAATATTTAAAAAAACTCATAGGAGTGCATTTTGAATATTTTTTTAGTACTGAAGAAAAGGTAGGTTGTTTTTTGGTGGGCCTGTCCAGACTTCGCAGTGATTTGGAGTCACATAACAGGAGTTATTGGGATCAGTTGGTTTATTCACTTAAAGACTCTATAGCCGAAGATGTAGTAAAACTACAAAACTACATTGATCCAGCGACGGGGGCTCTCACAAAGCAACCTCTTTCTTTGGACGAACTTGGACAATCTGGATTCGATTATACTAACATTACTTCCAGCTATTCCGAAGTAAAATTAAAAACTTAAAAAGGAAAAATTATTTTTTAATTTTATTATTTTACGACCTAGATGGAAATCGTTTTTAACGAAATGGTTCAGAAATCAAAGGCTTTATCTAGTTGGTCCAGGGAACAAGTAGATGCAGTAAATCGGATCAAAGGAGCTTGGGAAAGATTGGGCAGTCTGATAGAAAACCATCAGCATATAATGGCTAAACAGGTAAAGTGTATTGAAAAAATAGTATATTGTTATATTAGAAGTAAAAATGATACTTTGGGGCGAGGCTGTACGTTTGTACAACCTCCAACAGTCCCAACTTTTAAGTGAATTGGAGGATCATGAAAATAAATGAGTCCTATATAAATTTTTCTGCCCCTTTTCATCCCCTATGAATTTGACCATATAAATTATAGCCTATTTGATGACCGATGATACTTTTTAGGGTTCCGTACCCAAAGGGTAAAAACGGGAACCCAAACGGTAAGCCCGCGGTTACACTGGACGCGTTTTCGTGCGAGCTCTGACGGAATTTACTCGCACGACTATTTTATAGTGGTTACATTAGATGCGCGTTTATGGTGTCCTGTGTGTCGAGTTTGACTAAACAAGCGCCACTACTTTGATGCTGTGTGAGAATATAATGTTAAAATAACTATACTCATGAAAAGAAGAAAATGTTGGGAAAAAATCATTTGTATGCAAGAAGAGAAGAAAATAAATATGTAAAACATTTGGTGAATTAAGACAGCAACCGGCCAAATTTTTTGGATATTTTAGAATGTCTCCATCAACATTAATATATCCCAAATAAAATTAAACCTGGTATTCAAAAATATTCAAATTTTTCGGGAATATATTGGGATCAGAGAAAAAAAAATCGAACGCTCGGACGTGCACGTATTAAAAAAACAAACCAGTTTGTTTTCATCCGACCAACGGAAATTGACGTCCGTGCGTTTTTTGGCCGTACGTGCTCGAACGTGAACGCAGCAAAAAACAAACAAATGGTATCTACGCAGGCGGTTACATTGCTTCGGAGTTTGCGCGTCCGTGCACGTACGTCAATTCCCGTTGGTCGGATGAAATCAAACTGGTTTGTTTTTTTAATACGTGCACGTCCGAGCGTTCGAATTTTTATAACTCTGGGCCCAGGATATATTAATGTTGATGGAAACATTCTAAAATATTCAAAAAATTTGACCGGTTGCTGTTTTAATTCACCAAATATTTTACATATTCATTTTCTTCTCCTTTTCTTGCATATTATTTTATATGCAATTATATATACATTGTACAATGTATAATACAAATTATATATACATTGCATTTACTCAACATTTTCTTTTGTTCATAAGTAGTTATTTTTAACATTAAATCTTCAGACAGTATCAAAGTAGTGGCGGTGTCCGTTTTGACAAACTCGACACACAGGACACCCTGAACGCGCATCTAATATAACCACTAAAATAGTCGTGCGAGTAAATCTCGTCAGAGCTCGCACTTTTAAAAAAACGCACGCACCCGCGTCCAATGTAACCGCGGGCTAAGACTTCGCTGTCGGTCCATCCGTTCGTCTGTCCGTCTGTCACAAAGGTCTATCTTATGAACCGTTATAGATAGACAGTTGAAATTTTTACAGATAATGTACCTATGTTGCCGCTATAAGAACAAATACTAAAAACTCTTTAAAGTAAGTTATCTTTTAAGTAAGAATTTTATCCTCATAGAAGTCCTCGGTGGCCGCGTGGTTTAAAGCGTTAGGACTTTACGCTGCTATGACGTTGGAGCCGTAGTAAGGCATTTTTTTAATCGTTTTTTTTAAATTTTTACACATTTTTACATAACTAAACGTTCTCTAACCCAATGTGAGTACATATTATCAAAGTAAAATCTCTGAAGGCGGGTAAGGGGACAAATAACTTACAATCTTTAAGATGTTTATTTAAATTTAAATGCTTCAAAAAAAAGCAGGGGGGCGACATGTTTCGGGACTTAAACAATTCCCATCGTCAGGCCCAGAAAGCTAAAACGATTACAATCAGAATAATAGAAAATTCCAATCTCTCCTCTGTTTGACTATTGGAATTTTCTATTATTCTGATTGTAATTGTTTTAGCTTTCAGGTTTTACTTTGATAATATTTTTACATATTTATTTTTTACTTTTTACATATTTATTATTGATTAATACAATTTTTAGTAATGTGTTTCTTCATTTTTTTTTAATTACTTAAACGCGCATTCAAAATTTCAGCTAAATCGGAAAAAAAATTATAATAATATAGTGTCTAATGTTGTATAGATAATGAATGGTACGGAACCCTTAGTGCGCGAGTCTGACTCGCACTTGACCAATTTTTTTCTATCCCATTATTATACAGGGTGTCCGGAAATTAATGCAACAAAATTTGGTCATAGATTCTTGAAAAAAAAATAGGTGACCCGTATTTTTTATTTTTGGCGAGTGGTCCCCCTTTTCGGATTTACAGCTCCCTGAATTTCGCCCGTAAAAAGAGTTTTTTTTTAATATCTCAGGGCCCCGTTGGACGAAAATCACTAAATTTGGTACACGTTGTTTTACCATAAAATGACATTTTTTGATGCTATTAACTTTTTTTTTATTTTCATCAGTGGTGTCCCTACGGTATTTAAACTAAATATTATTGAAGAAAAAAATGGTACGCCACTGTTTTTTTTTTAATAAAATTTATTTTTAAAATCTACATTAAATTTGGAACAAATTTGATCTCTTGACTTTTTTTTGCTACGATGCACCGTTTTCGCGTAAAAAAATAAAAACCATTTTCAAACCAGTAAATTTTTTAAAATTTTCATAGCAAAATTTAAAAAACCGGCAATTTAGGTTTTTGGACATTTTGGTTTGCACCATGTTTGCGCTTAGGTAATAAAAACAAGATTTTGGAAAATAAAAAATTATTTTAAAACTTAAGTTTGCCGTTTTAAAAATTTTGCCATTGAAATTTACGGTAAAATTTTAGCGATTTAGTCATGTATGAAAATGGTTTTTATTTTTTACGCAAAAACGGTGCGTCGTACCAAAAAAAAGTCAAGAGGTCAAATTTGTTCCAAATTTAATGTAGATTTTAAAAATAATTTTTATTTAAAAAAACACCAGTGGCGTACCATTTTTTTCTTCAATAATATTTAGTTTAAATACCGTAGGGACGCCACTGATGAACATAAAAAAAAGTTAATAGCATAAAAAAATGTCATTTTATGGTAAAATAACGTGTACCGAATTTAGTGATATTCGTCCAACAGGGCCCTGAGATATTAAAAAAAAAACTCTTTTTAGGGGCGAAATTCAGGGGGCTGTAAATCCGAAAAGGGGGGCCACTCGCCAAAAATAAAAAATACGGGTCACCTATTTTTTTTTCAAGAATCTATGACCAAATATTGTTGCATTAATTTCCGGACACCCTGTATGTATTGATACTGAAAACTATATATTTCTTAAAAAAATCATCAATTTTAGATGGAAACTGTTAGAACTACTCTCGATGTCGAAAAAGAGAATTTATTAAAAGAAGTTGAAAGATTTGAAGCTAAATGGCATCAATTAAAATCAATCCAAAGTTCTCTGGATCTGAATGAAAACTCCATTGAAGGGGTTCAAAAACAATTCAAAGATTTGCAGGAAAAGAAATCAGAATGGGGTGGTATTTTGGAGAAAAAAAATAGTTTAATGTAAGTTATTATAATTAAAAAACTGCGTCAAAGTAGTCTTAGAATGTTCTTTTCCATTCGCAAATTCTAGGGAACATTACACAAAATTTAAACTTGAACTGCCCGATATTGATTTTATTACCGAAGTGGAGAAAAATATAACAGAAGAAGAAACATCTTGGAAATTATTTGAAGATTTTTATGCAGGTTTTAGTATTATTGTATGATATTTTCTAAATTTGCTTAATGTATTTTTTGTAGAATTTGAAGATATCTGCAAAGAATACTGGATAGTATATAGGAAAAAGTTAGTGAATTTTGAGAATTTCATCAAAGAATGGCAAGAAAAACTTGTACCTGAGGCGGTACTGAATTATATACCACCAATTTTGCAAGAACTACAGAAATATAAAGTAGTATTTGTATTATATATAGAAAATATTTCTTAATAAGATTTGTTTTTAATTTTAGACTATTATATCTCTTCTCAGACACGTCAAAGGTGATGATTTTTCTGAAAAACATTGGAACGACGTTTTTGATTTGTTGGGCATAGAACCTAAGCCTGTTGAAGAACTATTAGTAAAAGATTTTTTAAATGCCAGTGAAAACATTCAAGAACACGCCCAAGAACTCCAAGTAAGTTAAAATAATCTTCAATTTTTTTAGATAGGCTGGTTTAAAAAAACAGAAATATATTTTGTATTAGATATATTGAACCTTAATAAGAAATTATACAAATACATGGACGAGCAAAAATGACCTGAAAATATAAAAATAAAACGAAACATGGTTATTTGTTATATATTTTTCTTATAATATACCGGGTGCGTCTCAAAAGTGGCTTACCCCTATAACTTTTTTATTTTTTAGTTAAAAAAACGAAATTTGGTATGTTAATATATGACATAAAATAGGATTGATTGACGTATTCAATTGTTTTCGGTCACTTCCTGTTTCACCAGAAACGACTACAACTTTTGATTTTTAAATGGCACCCTCGGTATTTTTTTACTTTATTCGATAGAAAATAACACTCGAAATACCAAGTGCTAATGAGCCACCCTCGTTCCATTTGAAAAAATTGAGATATGATTAAAAATACGATATGAGCATTTTCTAACTGGTCAGGACAAGACACTAAAAACATTAGACGATCCAAACTATTTTTCCAAGGCTCCTTGATTAAGAATTAGTGTTTTTAACATAGATTGAAATTTAAAATACAATTTTTTATTAAGCGAGAATGTCAAAATTTGACATATGATATGTCATTCTATCCAGAATGTTATTATCTATCGAATAAAGTAAAAAAATACCGAGGGCGCCATCAGTTAAAGTCTCGTTATTTTATCTGAAAAAATAAAAAAGTTATAGGTGACCCGGTATATTTTAGATTTTTTTATAACCTTGTTTTGAAATGAAATATAATTTCAGGCGATAAACAAGAGGGCCGCTAGTGAAATAGTGGTGAGACAGGCTATGAGAGACATTGACCAGTGGGAGATGAGAGCTAAGTTTACCTTAATTTCCCATAAAGATTCGCAAGGGAAAGAACTTCATTTAATTAAGGAATTTAAAGAACTACTTAATGCAGTAAGTAAATAACCATAAAATATAATATAGGACCATTATCACTATTCATACTGTCTTTGCAACTAAATACCTCAAAGGGATAGGACTTTTATATCTGGTCATACTGTCTTTTAGTTAATTTTATTTCTTATTTAATGCAAAAATGTTTTTATTTATATAACTTTCACTCTTACAGATCGGCGATCATCAGATATTATTGCAATCGTTAAAACATTCGGCAGATTTCGCTGTTTTCGAAGACAAAGCGACATCTTGGGAGAAAAAATTGGAAACCTTAAATACCCTCCTCCATTTGTTAAATCAAGTCCAAAAAAAGTAAGTATTCAAAGAAAATCAAGATATAAAAAATAAAAAGCGGCATACAGTGTTGCCGTTTTTTACGTGTGTAAAAAAATGTGTGTACAAAAAAATAGAACTATTTTAAAAACTTTCATGTACACTACTAAATATAATCTATTACAGATGTAGTAAAATGAAATAACTAATTGTAAAAAAAATTGGTCAAGTGCGAGTCGGACTCGCGCACGAAGGGTTTCGTACCATTCATTATCTATACAACATTAGACACTATATTATTATAAACTTTTTTTCCGATTTAGCTGATATTTTGAATGCGCGTATAAGTAATTTAAAAAAAAATGAAGAAACACATTACTAAAAATTGTATTAATCAATAATAAATATGTAAAAAGTAAAAATAAATATGTAAAAATAAAAAAAACGATTAAAATAAAGTCGCCTTGATTAGGATTCGAACCTGCCTTACTACGGCTCCAACGTCATAGCAGCGTAAAGTCCTAAGGCTTTAAACCACGCGGCCACCGAGGACTTGAAAGATTCTGTGTAAAATTCTTACTTAAAAGATAATGTTTAGTTAAAGTACTTTTTTATTTATAAACATTTATTTAATTCTGTTTTTAGTATTTGTTCTTATAGCGGCAACATAGATACATTATCTGTAAAAATTTCAATTGTCTAGCTATAACGGTTCATAAGATAGACCTTTGTGACAGACGGACGGACGGACAGCGAAGTCTTAGTAATAGGGTTTCCGTTTTTACCCTTTGGGTACGGAACCCTAAAAACTACGGAAGGAGTCAACAAATTTGAACTTTTGTTAGTTTGATGGTTTGATTCTAGATGGTTGTATTTGGAGCCAATATTCAGCAGGGGTACTCTGGTTCAAGAAAAGACCCGTTTTGATCGTCTCGATCGCGATTTTAGAAAAGTAATGTCACTGGTGGATAAAGATTGTCGCATTACAGAGCTCTGTAGATATCCTGACCTGGTGCTCACGCTTCAAAATGTTTTGGATCAACTAACTCGCTGTCAGCACAGCTTAAATGACTTCTTAAAAGTAATCAGATTTTTATTTTATTATTAAAGATAAAAATCCTCGTATTTTCGTAGGGAAAAAGGGAACTGTTTCCTAGATTTTTATTTTTGAGCGACGACGACCTATTGGAAGTGATAGGACATTCTAGAGAGCAAGTTATTCAAACTCATTTGAAGAAAATATTTGCTGGAATTCATTCTATCCAATTGGACCAAGTTGGTGAAAATTTGGTGTCTATATCTTCAGCGCAAGGAGAAGTAATTCATTTGACTCGTAGTGTGTCTGTGGGAATCCCAGTAGAGGTATACATTTAGGCTGTATTCCGTTGCAAAACCAGGCGAATCAGACCGGTAAACTACGGTAAAGAGCGGTTCCTGAAAAATATCGGTTTGATACGGAACGGTTTGTTAAAATACTGGAAATATCAAATGATGACGTTTTCTAAATTTTAATACCTTTATTACAAAACTTATCTTTTAATGCATTTTTAATGTACCTATTTTCTGCTTTTACGTTTGCTTCTTCTTTTCAATGGAGTTTAATATTGAAAAGTACTTTATTAATAAACTGTCAGACTTGTTAGACAGCTCAAGTGAAGATTTGTAGGTGTTGTTGTATCTAAATACAAAATATTATAAATTTTAGAAATTAAATGAGAATTTCACTCTAACTTTCAATATTTGCTTGATTTCTGTCACATAAATGACATTGATTGAGAAACAAAACCAGAAAAACCAGCCTTCTCGCACTGGTTAGTTTGGTGACAGTTATAACCGAATTTTTCAGGAACCCTGTTCTGTAATAAGAAAACTATCAGGAAACCGATTGAAACGGAACGTAAAACCATAACCAAGGTAAGCAACGGAATACACCCTTAGTTACGCGAAAGGAACTATGGTAATCGCAAAACAACGTGATCAACTTTGAGTGACAAGCGATGGCGACAGCGCTGCCAGATTGTGACGGATTTATGAGATGAATCTTAATTTAAAATTGACAAATAATATATTTATTATATCGTTTTCTAAAGAGTTTTACGTTTTATTTTTAATTTAATAACTATTATTTTAGTAATTAATTGATTTATTTGTTTTATAGCTTATTTTACTTATTACATATTGGCAAAAACTAGTCCATTATGAAGATTATTCTAAGCGTTATTATGGGTTATTTATTTATTTATTGATGTACATCTTACAACGCCATAAGTGGTAATAACAAGTAAGAGGGTGCTATTAATGCACAAACTAATAATCACAGAATTTAATAAAAACTAACTTTGAAAGTGGTATAATGTGCTTATCAATCAAACTTACTTCTCTGACTGCAGTCAAGGGTAATAAAGGACCTTTATTGTCACGTTCTCGTTCAAATTGCTTATTCCCGAAGCTACAAACTCTTTGCTTCGACTGTTTGAATGCTTTGGCATATTTTCAGCACACAATTTCAAGAAATGCAATATAAAAACTCGAAAATTTAGTTCTTAAAAGAACTGTTTGTGCTGAAAAGTGCTATTTAAAAAAAAACTACGAAAAGAGGCAAAAAACGAGAATTGCTCACAAAGATTGTAATTGTCAAATAATAAAGGACAACATTGCTGAACACGGCGCAATGTGACCAACATAGCGATAATAAAATTCGGTTTAAACTAATTTTTGCAGCTTTAATCTAAATAAAATATCTGTTACAATCATTTGCTCTATAAAGTAAAATGAAGAGCTGCTCGGTATCTTAAATTATACAACAAATTTATACATTTTTGCCAAAATTTCATTTAGTTAGGTTTATAGAATTTAATGTTAATGTCGATATGATTGATGACGTGCATCGGAAAACGTTTTGCGATTACAATATATAATGTTTTATTTCAGCAATGGTTGGGAAACTTAGTAACCGAAATGCAAGCAACTTTAAAAAGTCTTTTGATAAGCTGTCAAAGAGAGAATCAAGCAGCCGATCCATTGAAGTACCCTTCGCAAATACTGTGCTTGTCTGACAACATATCCTTTACCTCAAAATGCGAACAGGCTATCAATAATGTGACGTTGCCGACTCTGCTAGCCCATTATAAGGTACAATATATTTCAGGGTGTATTCTGTTGCTTACCTTGGTTATGGTTTTATGTTCCGTTTCTATGAAAAGTTTTCTTATTACGGAACACGGATCCTGAAAATTTCAGTTACAACTGTTACCAAATTAACCAGTGCGAGAAGGCTGGTTTTTCTGGTTTTGTTTGTCAATCAATGTCATTTATGTGACAGAAATCTAGTCCTAATATTGGAAGTTTAAGTAAAATTCTTATTTAATTTCTAAAATTTGCAAGAACACATGAAAAACAAGACAACAAGTAATCGTGAATGTTTTGTAAGCTATAAAAATATAAATATTGATTAGATTTGTTTATTTATTATTGATCTGTTTTAACATTGGACCTGCAAATCTTCACTTAAGCTGTCTAACGAGTTTAACAGTTTATTAATAAAGTACTTTTCAATATTAAACTACATTGAAAAGAAGAAGCAAACGTAAAAGCAAAGAATAGGTACATTAAAAATGCCTAAAAGATAAATTTTCTAATAAAGGTATTGAAATTTAGAAAACGTTAACATTTGACATTCCCACTATTTTACCAAACCGTTCCGTATCAAACCGATGTTTTTCAAGAACCGCTCTTTACCGTAGTTTGCCGGTCTGGTTCGCCTGGCTTTGCAACGGAATACAGCCTCAGTAAAATAGCCAACTATATTGACAATACACGACAGTGACAGTTGTAATGGACTAACTTTAGAAAATGTTCTACAAGACTAACTTGTGTTTTTTTTCTGTGAAAAAATGCTGAAATTATATTATTACTATTTTTCCTTTAGGCTCAACTAAACGAACTAAGTTCCTTGGACCTGAACTTAAGCACGAACTCCGATAACGACGACATATTATTGGAATTGAAGCTGAAAGCACTAGTGTTGGACACTATACATCATATCGCAGTACTGGAGGAGTTACTTAATAAGAAAATTACTAGTGTATCTGATTGGAGTTGGCAAAAGCAAATTAGGTCAGACGTAATAAAAATTCTTTAAGTCATTTACATACAGGGTGTCCCAGAAATAAGTGCAAATATTTTAACTGGTAGTATAGTTCAACCCCAGAAACACGCCTATTACGTTTTTTTCGCGAAAATTTTTTTTTTCAGAATTCGGAATTTTTTGAAAATTTTTTGGGAAATTTTTTTAGTTTTTAGTTAAAAAACATAATTTCTTGATAATATGGCAACATATGTACGTAGTAGATTAAATTTACAAGAAAGAAAATCCAGAAAAGATCCATGGTTCTCAAAATTTTTGCAGAAAATCATTTTTTTTTGGAAATTTTCAAAGTAAAACAACTCCGTTATTTTGGACTTATGTGAAAAACGATAGAGAGAATATATGTTTCTTTTATCGAGATCTACCACCCTGTAAAATATTTGCACTTATTTCTGGGACACCCTGTATAACATTGAATAAACTGAAGCATATAATACCGATTATACCAATATACTTTATCCTAGGTACTACTTAAGCGCCTCTGGTGATGTCACAATAAAAATCGCTAGGGCTTCCATGGACTACGCCTTTGAGTATTTGGGAAACGAACAAAAGCTTGTTAAAACACCCTTAACAGAAAGGTGTTTTCTAACTCTGACCCAGGCTCTTTATCTGGGTCTGGGTGGGAATCCTTATGGACCAGCCGGTACAGGAAAAACTGAGTCAGTAAAAGCCCTTGGTTCCATTTTGGGCAGACAAGTTCTTGTCTTCAACTGCGACGAGGTAAGTATATACAGTTCATACCAAATAAACTTTTAGTCACGTGATTAAGCTTAACAGGTGATTAAGTTGCCCACTTTTATATATTTTCTTTTAATCAAAATATTTTAGGAAACAAAAATAAATTAATTATAAATATATAAACAGATATTATTTACGTCAACAAAACTCACCTTCTTAACAGCAATTAAGAGACATAAAGGGCCATTACTGACGCTTTCCCATTCAAAATATTCTAATAACGTTGCCATGAGTTTTTTACGGCTATTAAACTATCTTGTATACTTCTTCGTTCGATTGCAAGGTCTGCTAGTAAACATCCGCAAGCTTAAAGTATCACAACACTATTTATTTAAACCAAAAACTCAAAATACAAAACTAAAGTGTCACAACGCATGACAATGTCAGGAAATAAATAAATGCCACAACTTGACATTTTTTACAGCAGAGCTACCACCTGAATCTCCGGCGCGAAATGTAAATTCCAGTTAGTCAGCACGGCGGAGATGGAGAACTAGCCCTCTATAAAACCGTCCCAGATACTGGCTTTTGTCAAAGCCCTGGGACTGTATGATGAGTTATAACTCAAGAAAGGGGGACACAATAGATCTGTAAGGTCGCAGTGATTAACCCCCCTCCCACTCATTCTAAATTCTAAATTCTAGTCTGCACGGCGCCGAATATGTCCATGGTTGGCAACAATGAATTTAAAAATCGCGCCCTCGATTACGTAACTAAAAGTTTAATTGATATTAAATATATTTTCGACTGATGACATGCAAAAAATAACCAAAAATATTCTTTTTCAAAGGGCATAGATTCATCCTCTATGGAACGAATCCTTACTGGCCTAGTTAAAACTGGAGCTTGGGGTTGTTTCGACGAATTCAACAGGCTTGAAGAAACAACTCTGTCTTCAGTATCCATGTTGATTCAATCCATCCAAGAAGCCTTAAAAAATAACCTAAAAACTATGAAATTAGGAGGTTTTGAAGCGACAGTCAACAAGCACTGTGGGGTGTTTGTGACCTTGAATCCAGCTGGAGAGGGTTATGGTGGTAGGAACAAACTTCCAGATAATTTGAAACAGCTGTTCAGGCCTGTGATCATGACGCGTCCTGATCATGAACAAATAGCTAGGACCCTGCTGTATTGTGATGGATACAACAATGCGGATATCATAGCCAAGAAAATTGTGGAAGTATTTGAAATGTCCAGGTAAGAAAAATAGTACAGGTATTTTACAGTGTGTCCAAGAATTCTTGCACTGCTATACAGGATATCCTAAATTGAGAGAGATAAACTAAGAGATTTTATAATAATAACTTATATTATTATTTTTAGTAAACTTATGAGTAAGCAGTCTCACTACGATTGGGGACTTAGAGCTATCAAGACAGCTCTAGGTGGTTGCCAAATGGCAATAAAAAAGCACAAAATTACTGATAAATCTCCTCTATCTCTCAACCAAGAACTCTGTTTGGTCGTGGGTTCATTAAAAATGGATGTAATCTCAAAACTAACTGCCGTGGATTCCATAAAATTCCAAGAACTACTTAAAAACGTTTTTGAAGATATCTCAGTAGAAAACACCAACGAAGAAGAGCTAACAAAAGCCATCAAAGCAAGTTTTGTTGATTTAAAATTGATTCCGAACGAGATACAGGTTGGAAAATGCCTGGAATTTTATAAACAACTCAAACAGAGAATGGGAGTTGCTATAATAGGACCTCCAAGTTCAGGGAAGAGCACTATACTAAAACTTCTTGAAAAAGTAAGTAGTTCCATAAATGAAAAGGACCTTTATAACTTACTTTTATTATATATAATCTCGTCTTATTTTTTGTAGGCTCTCAGTAAAATCCATCAAAAAATAAAATGTTACCCTCTTAACCCAAAGAGCATGCCCAGAAAATTACTTTTGGGTCATGTGGACCATTTAAATCAATGGAACGATGGCGTTCTAACCAGCTACGGAGCTCTAGTGTCATCCGAATCCAAGGATACCTGGTCTTGGATCATTTGTGATGGTGACTTAGATCCTGAATGGGTGGAGTCATTAAATTCTGTCCTGGATGATAACAGATTGATGACGTTGCCTTCTGGGTGGCGAATACACTTTGATACAAATGTCAACTTTGTCTTCGAAACTGATAGTTTGAAGAATGCATCTCCTGCTACGATATCCAGACTTGGTATAGTTTATCTCAGCGAGAATGATGCTGTATTTTCTGATTATATTAAAGGATTTTTGGATGGGTTATCAGAAGAAAAACGTAACAGTATTGGTGAATTAGTCTCTGAATTTTTTTTGAAAGGTAAGATTGGAAAGTTAGTTACTCTTAGTTTAGATTCGCTTAGTATTATTATCCCTAGAGGGATAACTTGAAGAGGAAATACCGTATGATCGAATAAAAACGGTGTCAGCGATGGCTATGAAATGAAGATCGCTGTCATTTTATATGTAAATTTATATGGGAAATGTCATCGATTGTCATTTCATAGCCATCGCTGACGCCGTTTTTATTCGATCATACGGTATTTCGTGCATATTATTGATGTAACTAAATAAACCCTTAACAAAATCTTATATTATAGATGTTATAGTCATGAATTTTCGTACAGCAAACTTTCATACACAAAAACAATTATCGCATATTTGAATAAAAGTAATTATTACATATTTCTAAACCAAGCATGCATTTTTCTGCCTTTTTCTTGTCAGTTTTTTAGGATAATTTGGGTATGCATTAATATGTAATTTTTAATCGGCCTACTATTTAGTTGCCTATTTGTAACCAACATATCCTTTATGGAGCCGCGCTCACATGCAATCAAATAGTCGGCCGATCGACTTCAAAAGTATGTATTCTTTTTACTTTTGCAACTAAATAATCGGCCGACTAAAAATTACACGTCAGCACGTGGACTTATTGTATCGAATTTCCCTTCACAGCATCTATACTATTTAAAATCGTAAGTCAGTTTAAAGTGTCTTGTTTTTCAAATTAATATTCTTTTTAGAAAATATGCGATAATTGTTTTGAGTAGTTTATACAGGGTATCCCAGAAATAAGTGCAAGTATTGTAAGGGGTGGTAGATCTCGATAAAAGAAACATATTTTATCTTTTTCGTTTTTCAAATAAGTCCAAAATAACGGAGTTATTTTGCTTTGAAAATTTCCAAAAAAAAATTATATTTTGCTCAAATTTTGAGAACTTTTTTACCACTGGATCTTTTCTGGAATTTCTTTCTTCTAAATTTAATCTACTACCTATTAGTCTAAGAGCTAGCAACGTTTTCGAGAAAGTATTTTTTAGGACGTCTGGCTCTTTGATATATCTTTATTCATTAACTCGGAGCGTAGAGCTTTCGCCTATGAAGCGAAGGTCAGTGGTTCGATACCGGCGGCGCGGCGGGGGGTGCAACTTTTTTATTTTTTTTCGTTTATATTCTGATAGTAAAGTATTAAATATTTGTTTTTTTTTATCACCAGAACGGATGGCGTTTATGGGTTTATGATCCGTAGTGTATGTATATAAGTAGAATTTGATACTTTCATTTGTTTTGAAGGATTATTGTGGTAATTAATTATTAGATAGGTTTAGGATGGTCTGGCTGCCGCGCCGGTAGGTTGCGTTCACTACTGCGCATCACATGGGTACAGGGTGTCTCATTTTCGTGCGTTTTTTGGGATTTCTCGTTTATGAGTGGATATACAATGATGCGTTTTTTTACATTACTTTGCTAGTTTTTTATGTAATTAAATATTCTACCTATAGATTTGCGCATTTTCTACATATTAACATTAATTAATCTTGTTTAAAAAGTATTATTATTTACCCAGATAATTTTGTTTTCCATTGTTATCTTAACAAACTGAACTGAAAATAAACTTGTGTAGCTTTTAGATAACAATCTGTTAAAAAAAGTATTATTAAAATAATAAACAACAGCTGAAAAAAATATTTTGAAGAACACATGAAGACAGGCGGAAATTATGTTAATAAAGCATTAAAATGTTAATTTTTATATATTATGTTTAAATCTTTAAAATTAAATTATAAAAGAATTAAATATTTTTATGAACGAGGCAAGAAAAAATTACGGCCAACATTTTGAGTTTTATTTTTAGACATCATGTTTAAATTATTTCAATCTAATTATTATAATTGAATTAAATATTTTTATTTAATATTAGTGTCAGCAAATATTTATTACTTTACTATCAAAATATAAACGAAAAAAAAAAAATAAAAAAGTTGCACCCCCAACCAGTATCGAACCACTGACCTTCGCTTCATAGGCGAAAGCTCTACGCGCCGAGCTAATTGAGACTTAGAGTTTTTATTCAATACTAGAATTTAAACCGCTAAGTAAAAAATAGAGGATCTTCTTTGGATGCGCAGTAGTGAACGCAACGTGTATCAGCAGCCAGACGGCGTGCACGCTATTCCAGAGAGCATAATAAAAGATATATCAAAGAGCCAGACGTCTTAAAATACTTGTTTTCCCGACGTTGCTAGCTCTCGTACTATATGGTTATCAAAAAATTCCAAATTTTCGAAAAACATTTTTCGCGAAAAAAACCTCATTGTCATGTTTCTGGGGTAACTATAGGTACTATCAGTTAAAATACTTGCACTTATTTCTGGGACACCTTGTATAACTCATATCGTTTAAAAGAATACCTGTGTCAATTCTTATGTGTATAATCCATCGATCCCAAGTTTTAAATAAATTTTTACTTAAATCTTAGTAAGAATTTCATACTTGATAAGTTTCATCTTACGTATTTTTTGTTGTAAAAAGCTGTGCTTGGACGTTCTAGGAGAGTTTATTTGTGAAATTTACAACAAAAATATTTTTTTAGCTGTAAATTGGGTTATAAATGACGGAGAAAGTACAGTAACACGATCGAAATTATCTGTAGCAAGAACAGGACTTTCTTTAGTAAGACATTCTTCAACAAAAACCTCTTTTGCTTTGGCCTTAATAAATGGTCTGGGACAACAATTACAGCAAGACTTTCGAGAATTATTCATCCAACAGGTAAAACAATATTTAAATTATTTCATGAATTATACGAAATTGTTTCCAGATATTCGACTGGCTGGAAGAATCACCCCCTGTAGATTTCTCTGCAGTATACTATGACGATAGACGTGATATAATTGCCACTTATCACACAGATACAAATGCAGCTGTTGAAAAAATATCTGAAGGAAAATTACTAGTTATAACCGGACAAGTGCTTCAATATCTGGATGTGCTTAGGGTGTGGTTGGAAGAAAATTATTCTCATATTTTACTGGTTGGACCTAATGGAACTGCCAAAAGGTTTTGTTTAAATTAATTTATTTTTTATATTAATATTTTTTTATTTATTAACATTTTTTCTTTTTTTTTTCTTTGGTATTTTTTTTTGTTATATTTGTATTATTTCTTTTTCTAGATTGATGCTAAATTACATCACTGGGCAAAGATTAGATATTGAACTAGCAATTGTTTACTGCTGCGCCTACTTGACACCAGAATTTGTAATATATCAATTACAACAAGTAATATTATTAATTCTTTTAGGCTTCTTTATAGGGAAACTAAAAAAATATGTTTTAGCATTGCTTTTCGGTGAATACATTCAAAGGGAAGGTTTTAAAACCGAAAAAAGGTCATCTGATTCTTTATTTTAATAACTTACACTTACTGAAGCCAGATAAATGGGGTACAAATATGTTAATAGAGTTTTTAAATCAAGTAAGTGTATATTTTTTCTTATTTATCTGGATTTTTTAGTCCTCTCCGATTTCTTTGTACTCATTCAACAATATTGAGCTCTCTGACATGCATCTCCTTATGTTAAGTGATCGAAAAGTGATTTTTTTTCGTATTCCCATATCTGCTTTCTCGATTTTTCTTGCTCTGTCTCATAAAAATTCATTATATGACTCGTCTTTTCATACTTTTCCACAAGGTTTTCCTCCAGTTGTTGAAACGGTTCTTCCATCATGATTTTGATGTAGAATTTCCCGTAGTTTCCTACTACTCGTATATCGCCGTTAACAAGATTTTTGGACAATCTTTCAGCTATCTGGGCATTTCTATTCTTTAATTCACTAACCAAGACTTAGAAGTTTTCAATGCCAGCTTTGTTATTTTTTAATAGCATATTCTGTTCCTGGACTACTTCCTTGTATTTACCCAGAAATCCTTTGATAGGAATTTTTGTATTTGAAATATCCGAACTAGACTTTTTTAAAAGAAATAATATTTTAAAGACCGCTTTTCGGTGAATACATTCAAAGAAAACCAAAAAATAGTGATCTGATATTTTATTTAAAAAAATTACATTTAACTGAAGATAGACAAGTGAGGTATGAGTATTCTGATAGAGGTTTTTAGCTCAGTTAAGTATACGTATATTAGTATATCTTAATTTAGTCCTTTTAAAGGCTCAAACATTGAAGAATCCCCGATTTCTTTGTGCTCCTTCAATAATGTCGAGCTCTCTGACATGCCCTTATGTTGAGTGATCAACGCGTGAATCTTTTTCTCGTACTCCCATATCTGCTTTCTCAATTTTTCTTGCTCTGTCTCGTAAGCGTTCACGATATGTCTCGTCTTTTCGTACTTGTCCACAAGGTCTTTACAGAATTCCTCCAGTTGTTGGAACCGTTCTTCCGCCTGCTTTTTTTCCTGGATCAAATGTTCGGATTCCATCATTATTTTGGTGTAGAATTTCTCGTAGTTTCCCACTACATCCCTGTTAACAAGATTTTTGGATAGTCTTTCAGTTAACTGGAGATTTTCCCTCTTTAATTCACTAACCGAGAGTTCCAACTCTTCAATACGAGACTTGCTGTTCGTTAGCAGCGCATCCTTTTCCTGCACTACTTCTTTGTATTTACCTAGTTCGTTGTTCCTTGCCAACAAATCCTTTGATACAGGTTCCTGCATTCGAAATATCTGAAACAGAAGTTTTATAATCGAAAATTACGGTCGTTTCTGAAGTACCTTGAGCAGGTCCATGAGATGAAATAATTCCATGAACTTTTCGATAACAAAATAATAGAAAATTTTGATGCCTGCGTCAAATAGGTATACTGTTCGTGTCATTTTTTTTGCTGACGTTCTGTCTTGTTACAGCTGGTGGAATTTAGAGGGTACTTTGACGAGAAAACTGAGTTTGTAGGTGTGGAAAATGTTAGAATAGTCGGAAGTTTATTGCCTAACCAGAAAATTTCTAAGAGGTTCACTTCAAAGTTTTATATGCTCAACGTAAAGTAAGTTAATTTTTTTGTACAATAATGTATAAATACAAAAAATCCTTTATGGGTATTTCACCACTGCACTGCAAGAAAATCTACAAAATAAAATAGTTATTTTTTGTAAACACTTCTATTTTAACAGAACGGTTTCTTGTAGACGTATCTGTTTTAAAAAAGTAAAGTGTTCTCGAATAGTTGAATTTAAGTATTTTAAATAATTTTTTTTCTTTATTCTTTGTATTTTTTCGCTTCCGACGATGGACAGAGATAAACTTTCCGAAACGTTAAGCATTTTGTTCTTTGTTAGGCAAATTTGTATAACTGTAAACATAATTTCTGACAAGCAGTGTTCGTTTAGGTTTAACGCCAGAAGTGTTTACAAAAAATAACTATTTATTTTGTAGATTTTCTTGCAGTGCAGTGGCGAAATGCATAAAGGATTTTTTTAGAGAGATGAATCCGCCACATAGGTATAGACATTTTTTAATGTATAAATACTTTAAACATTGAAAAAAAATTAACAACATAATTTGTAGTTCTCCGGAAAAAGAAAATATTTCAATTATTGCAACAGCATGCTTAATGGATGTAATGAAATCTCATTTTTCAACATTAAATTATCCAAAAGCCAAAATTACTAAAGTTGCCTCTATAATGGTTGCTATTTTTGAAAAGGTATTAGATTTAGTGTTATAGCATTCTTTTTATAACAAATTATCAATTATAGATCAAATGCAACCCTATATTTTTACTTCATAACCATTTTGTTATATCAACTCACGATTTGACACTTTGGTGCTACAATTTGGGGTACTATCCTGTCACAGAAGCTTCTATTCCTGAGGTAAAATAAAAATTCAAATATCTAGATATTCTAAAAACTTTATTTTAGATTATTTGTTACGAATGTCTGAGAATATTCGGAGACAAACTTGCGAGAGATGATGAAAAAAAGCAACTTTGGAATGTCATTGATGACGTTTTTAGAGTCAGTTGGGAATTACCTGATCTTAGTCAAACTGTTTCCAAAGTCTTTTATGTCGCACAGAGTGATATTAACAGTAAAAATATAATTTTTGAAAAATATTCTAAAGAAACTTGGTTGAATAGAGTTGAAGATGCTGCTGTTCAGTTTGGTAAATATTTTTTTGAAAACTATAGTTTCTACTTTACAAGTTCACCCTGTATAATTCTCGTATATTCGTTTCTAGGAAAAGAATACTATGATCTTAATGTTATTATCAACGATGCCATCATGATTTTAACATCGTCTCTATTAAGAGCATCTTCAATAACAAGCAGACATATGTTGCTGATTGCCAAAGCAGGAATTGGAAGAAAGACAGCAGTAAAAATCACTTCAATTCTGTCGGCAGCTAGAGTGATACAACCAGTGACAGGAGGGACTCCATATTTTCAAAATGACTTAAAAATTGTAATTATTGAACAAGAAGACTAACGAAGAAGTTTAATAACAAAAAAACTTGGCGAGACTACGGCATCAAAATGATTTTTGAAACCCCCTTTTTAAGATCCATAATAATCTCGCTATTTCAAGTTAAAATCAATTATAAAAAAGCAAGAAATAATTAAAAATAATCACAAAAAAGTGTATCAAACCATGAAACTAACAAAAATTCAAATTTGTTGACTCCTTCCGTAGTTTTTAGGGTTCCGTACCCAAAGGGTAAAAACGGGAACCCTATTACTAAGACTTCGCTGTCCGTCCGTCCGTCCGTCTGTCACAAAGGTCTATCTTATGAACCGTTATAGCTAGACAGTTGAAATTTTTACAGATAATGTATCTATGTTGCCGCTATAAGAAAAAATACTAAAAACAGAATTAAATAAATGTTAATAAATAAAAAAGTACTTTCACTAAACATTATCTTTTAAGTAAGAATTTTACACAGAATCTTTCAAGTCCTCGGTGGCCGCGTGGTTTAAAGCGTTAGGACTTTACGCTGCTATGACGTTGGTTTTTAATCGTTTTTTTTAATTTTTACGTATTTTTACATATTTATTTTTACATTTTACATATTTATTATTGTTTAATACAATTTTTAATAATGTGTTTCTTCATTTTTTTTAAATTACTTATACGCGCATTCAAAATTTCAACTAAATCGGAAAAGAAGTTTATAAAAATATAGTGTCTAATGTTGTATAGATAATGAATGGTACGGAACCCTTCGTGCGCGAATCCGACTCGCACTTGACCAGTTTTTTTTATTTACTGCATCTGATTTAGATAACCTAACTAAACGAATATTTTTCAGGCTACTCAGCGTGCGGGATTGGAGTGTGAAGACGTATTCCTCGTTTTGGAAGATTTTATTTTCGATTCTCCTGAAAATTGCAACGCTGTGAACCTGCTGATGTGTTCAGGGTTCATTCCCAACCTGTATAGTACGACTGAAATGGATGTTCTGGTTAAAGGCCTCAAAGAAAAATGCGACAATGAAAATTTTGAGGGAGATTTACATCAATTCTTTGCAAATAGTAATTATTTTTTAGTATTTTCGAACATTCATTATTTTCTTTGAATAAGAAGACTAAGGAAGGAGCATAAAGCTATCCATGTATTTATGCATGGTGGGCGGAAAAAGGACTCTAGGATGGGGATCCTCGACAGTTCTGTTTGACGATTCATTTGACACATTTGAATTTGATTTGAAATTTTGAGGATTTGTCAGTCTTTACGGAGCTTATTTTATGTTATTAATTATTTATTATACTACTGATAGTTGTATAAAGATAGTAAATCTAGATGGAAATTGTGACAGAACTTAAATTAACAGTGACACTATCGCGATTTATCGAAAAAGACTGTAAAATAGTTGGTTGTGTAGTGTGCGATAGATCTCGGTCAAAAATCGAGTGAAATAATGGAACAACTTTTCGCTAGTAAGTGACTATATAATATACATACGTGTAGTAAACCGATCATTTATGAAATTCACTTAAATTAACTAATTATATATTTTTTCTTGCATTTTTGCTTTTATTTGCTACTTGTCAAAGATTAGATGTCAAAGAATTTAGATACGTCAATTTGACTTACCTGCTTCAGTAGCGTATCGGATGTTTGTGTCAATAAATAATTATTAAAACTTATCTATTTTTATTAAAATAATATGTTTTTATAACAATTTTAATAACTACCAACAAAAAAAAAATATTGGGTCTACCCCACGTCTACCCTACATCATAGTTTTACATTTTTTAAATAAAATTAGAACGGCACTGATAAACCGGAATTTAAGTCGGCCATATTTGAGTCCCATCGCGGTGGACCTAAGATTTTTGATATGCTCCTTCCTTAGTCTTCTTATTCAAAGGTTTTTTGATTATATTTTTTTATCTGGTTTTACCAGGTTTTTTATACTAATGTTGTTTTTTTAAATAGGATGCTGTGTATTTTATTTATTTAATGAATTTATATGAAAATTCTTTTTCGCCAAATACCACAGTCTATACCGGGTGGTTTTATGCAATGTTTTTTATTAGCGATGGGAACTATCGAATGAATTAGACTATCGAATGGTTACTGAATGAATGATTTCAACTATCGAATGGTTTTATTCGAATAAAATCATTCATTCATTTGTATACTAAAGCATATGTGACAACCTCGCCGTGCGACTAAATGGTTATCGTTGAGCCACGACTATTGAATCAGATGCACAATTAAATTGTCTATCAAATTGTATTATACCATTTTTTACCTATCCCTTCAAGTTTTCGTAGAAAATGCATTTTCTTATAATTTAGACCTCATTTATCAATATATCCATGGAATATTGACATTTTACATTGTTTTTAAAGCGACAAATGTACAAAATGTACAGACTAGTAATATTATCGTTTTTAGCAAAACGATAATATTACTAGCCCAATTGTATGCAAAAAGAAAACTATTTAAATCTTTATAAAAGAGTATACCATTAATTAAATATAACACCATTATTTCCGCCCATATACTAATTAATTATATACTTAGTTGTATTCGTTAATAAATTATTATAAATAAATGTGGATTTGAGTCAGAAATCAATATAATAATAAGTTATCAAATTAAAGTCTCTGTTGTTATAAATAAGCATTTATTAAAAAATGAAATATCATTTTTAAGGTGTTACTTTTTATCACACTGTCTAATGTACATACAAAATTCAGTTTTTTAGTATTTGGAGCAATTATTATTAATCAACGCAAACAGTCAGTTAATGTAGTTTGAATACTGGAATCATATTAATTGATCCTCTTTAACAAATATTTAAACAGTTTTTTTTAATTTTTTAATGAAATAAACGAATTATATCGACAATATTAGTAACTGTACTCTTTAAAAATTTGGTACATCTTTAAAAATAATCTAAAATGTCAATAGTCCATGGGTATATTGATAAATAAGTTCTAAATTACAAGAAAATGCATTTTCTACGGAAACTTAAAGAGATAGGTAAAAAATGGTATAATATAATTTGATAGACAATTAAATTGTGCATCTGATTCTAGTAAAATATACAGGGTGTTCCATTTAAATTAAACAAGTTATTGCCGTTTGAAGCTAATAATTATTTAAAATAAATTTTTAGACACTCTGTATAAGGTAGTATTATTTTTATTATTACTACACAATAACTGATCACTAAATAAACTTCAGTAAATATTTAGTATCAAAAATTTTGATACCCTTGGAGAAATGAAGCCTTAAAATTTTTACTGCAATTTCACAAAATTGAAAATATTTCAAAAACGGTAAGTATAATAAATCTTAATCAAATTTACCTTTATTTTAATCGTAGAAACTAAAAATGTAATAATATACAGGGTGTTCCATTTAAAAAAATACAACATTGATATTTTTTACTTATTTGGGACACTCTGTATCTTGTAAAATTATTTTTAAATTGTACCTCTAATAGTCCTTCATCGAACCCAAAACTTACAATTTGTAAAAATCTCATCGTTTTGCTACAATACTCCGTGTCGTATGTGGTGAACAACCCTGTATAAACAGTTATTATTTACATCAACAAAACTCACCTTCTTAACAGCACTTAAGGGATATAAGGGGCCATTACTACCGCTTTCCCGTTCAAAATATTCTAATAAAGTTGTGATGAGGTTTTTACAGCCATTAAGCTATCTTGTGCACTTCGCACTAAAAGAGGTTTTAAAAAGAACACTGTTCGACTGCAAGGTCTGCTAGTAAACATTTTTAAGCTTAAAGTGTCACAACACTATTTATTTAAACCAAAAACTCGTAATACCAAACTAAAGTAAATAACGAATGAGAATGTCAGGAAAGAAATAAATAAATGTGGCAACTCGACATTTTTAACAGCGCAGAGCTACCACCTAAATCCACAGCGAGAAATTTAAATTCCAGTTAGTCAGCCCGGCGCCGAATATCTCCATGGTTGGCAACAATAAATTTAAAAATGGCGCTCTCGATTGCGTAACTAAAAATTTAATTGATATCAAATATATAATAAAATTAAACTAAACTTTTTTCTGAGTGTTTATTGGATTCATTTTAAACTTCTTTTCCTATAGATATAAAGAAACATCTTCGTATATTCGCTTGTTTGGATGAAAATAACGAACGTTTATGGAAAATCATTCAAAAATGTCCCGGATTTTTGAATAACAGCTCGACATTATGGTTGAATAAGTGGGATTCAGATACCTTAAGAGTATTTCCAGTTAAACTCTTAGCTCTGTATGTTATACAAAAAATACAAACATACACATGGCCAAAATTATTGCATATAACGATATTTTTATTCTATTTTGGACCTAATATGATTCTTTTTATATTTTTGGACATATTGGTTTACTACACGGCTAACTAATATAAAATTAAAAATCTAAGTGCAACTAACTAGGCTGTTATTATAATTTTATTTCATAATGAGTAAAAACCAACAAAAACAAATTTCATTTTAAACAGAAAATTTGAATTATTTTTCACAACTAATAGTTTGTATTGCCTCCTCGAGCCTCAATGCAAGCTGTGAGATGACGTGGCATGCTATCAATTAAGTTGTCCAGAAGATGGTGAGGAATGGCTTCCCATGTTTCGAGCGAGCAATTTTCAATTCATTTAAGGTACGGGGGGGATCATTCATTTTGGCAATATGGCGTTTTAGCATGCCCCAAGCATGCTCGGTCACATTCATATCTGGAGATATCGGTGGCTACCACAGTTTTCTTATACCCTCTTCCTCACAAAATTCGCGAACCGCTAAAGTGCGATGGGGAGGAGCATTTTCGTCCATGTAAACAAATTCATCCCCCACTGCCCCTCGAAATGGACGCACAATAGGCTCTAAAACGTCTCTAAGATATGAGGCACCTGTCATTGTGCCATCAATAAAAACAAGAGGAGCTCGAGCTCCGTGCATTATACCTGCCCATACCATAATGCTTCCCCCTTAAAACGGGACACGGGGTTGAGCTGCATTCAAGCGTGCTCGTCTTCCAGATGCTCTCCAGACCAAAGATCGTCGCGAGTCTGACACTAGGCCTATTCTTGTTTCATCACTAAACATGACGAAATTTCAATTAGGTCCATTTGCTCTCATCTCCTCAGCCCATTGTAGTCGCGTAATTTTGTGCTGTAAATTAAGCTTCGGAACACGTAGAGACCTCCTTAAATGTAATCCTCTGCCATGGAGTCTTCTTGCTATGGTCTTCTTGAGACATTTACTCCTTCAAGGTGAGCTAACTCATTTTTAATAGCAGTACTAGAAAGCAGGGGATTGCGTCGTGCAATTAGGGATATTTGACGGTCTTGCACAGCAGTAGTAACTCTCTTTCTACTTCTTCCAGGCCGATCTATAACCTCGTTTGTCTCCCTGATTTTTTTTTAATATTCGCGAAACATCGCTTTGGTTAACTCCTACAATTTCAGCTATTGCAACTTGCCGGTAGCCCTGTTGAGACAGTGTTACTATTCTGACTCTATTAAACTGTGAAATAATGTTTCTAGGCATTTTAAGGCCAAAACAATGGTCAAATTTCTTCTGAAACCCAAGAGACCACAAATCGAAATGTGCAAGAATTTGTAATAATATTGGGTCTGAACGATAAACATTGTTTACCATATCCATTTTAACAAAAAATGTTTATTACAGATTATCAAAGCTATGTATAAAAAAAGATTCTTTAAATTCCTTTCCGTATATTTTTAAACGATATATGCAATAATTTTGGCCATGTGTGTATATACTGGGTTTAAAAATATCACGACTAAATTACTTTTTAGGTTGGACGATAGAGGTGAAGTAGAATGTAGCATTAATTTTCAGCAAATCGACGAGCATATTTCTAACTCTACACCATCCAGATATATATCACTAATAAAGCTGTATTTTGATATTTACATCGACAAGAAAAATGCTATACAATCTCGGTCGCAAGTTCTAACAGTACGTATTTTACGAGTCTTTCTCGCGCTACTTTTTGAAGTAAGTTGATATCCTTTCATAATATTAAAAATTGATGAAATTTAAGGCTGGAATTTCCAAACTAACAGCGGCAAAGGAATTGGTTGAAGAGCTAAAAGTGAAAGCTTCGGAACAACAAGAAAAACTGGCAGAGAAACAGTCCAAAGCTAATGCTGCTTTGGATATGATCAGCAATACGATGAAAGGAGCTAGTGAACATAAAGAAGAAATGGAAGATTTGAAGAAGAAGACCGAAGCAGAGAACGCCCAACTAATGAAAAGGTATTTTTTTTTAAATAAGCACATTTATCATCCCTCTTAGGGCTCGAACTCACTGACGACCAGGTCGCAACGACATGGCCGTCGGCTGGCCGGATGCATTGCGTTTATAGCTGCGACCAGATGAACGACGAGTTTCAACAGAGTTGTCAGATCTAACGATTTTTTACGTTTTACCAATTAGAAAATATTGTTTCAGAAAAAATAAGTTTCAGAAATTTTAAAATATCCGAGTTAACTAAAAAGCGAAGTTGCTATTCATGAGCTTATTAAATATTCTAATATTAAATAATGCATTTAAAATATTCTTGGATTTTTCGTTAATAAATACTTAGCTGGTGTGGTATGGAGTAAGTAAAATCTCTAACTCCGACTACACGATAACGTCGTTATTTCCATGTTTTTCAAATCCGCGATGCCATGCGTATTCCATCAGTCGTTTCATAACAGAATATTCTACATCCTACGTCTATGTAATTTAATATGAGTAGAGTGAGACATGTAACTCGTGAGATTTTCAGCATTATATCAATAAAGGACAAAAACAGTATTGTTCCTAAAGGTGCGCCCAGACTTGAGCATTTTAGCCCGAACGAACCGAGCGCGCACGAACAAAGAGAACAAATAGGCCGAACAAAAAGCATTGTGTACGCGCGACAAAAAGGGAGATATTCTGTTTCTTTTTTCTACTGATGGCTCTTTTCGACTTTAGAAGTAAACATTTTAGGGTCATCGTAAAAAAAGGTCGTCAGACACTGGCTCTAAATATAAGCAGGTAGAAAGTTTAGCTTCCAGTTATTTCAATGTTTACAATATAAATTCCTCTTTTTTATTGTTACTGAGAATCTACAACAGTAAATACTTCTAATTTTATGAATGTTTAAGTTACTTTTACTCTTAATTTTTTTTTAAATAATGTACCTAGTAGAAATATAGTCTAATGGACCCTGTTTGAAAAACGTTAAATTATATATATTTAAAATACAGTTGTCCTCCTTGTACATGACTACTATACAACTAAAAAAACTAATTTAATGAAAAAAAACAAGTGGTTGTAGAAAAACTTTAAAAATATGATTTTTTATTTTTTAAGATCGCAACTCGAAGGTATAATAAGTCGTCAGTGTGTTCGAACCCTTATGGAGTGTAGAGGTAAGGAGAAATATCTTCGTGCATTAAAAAGGTCATAAAAAAGAGAAGACTTAAAATGGCGCTGCTGTAGCAAAAACCTAAAATTTAAAATATGCGCCGAAAATTTTTGGAACAGGAAATGATTCAGGAGAGATAAATATTTGACGTGAAGGCGCGGGTTTCAAAAAAAATACAAATTTTATTTTCATATCACATGAAATAAATTACCGATTTTTATTCAGCAGCAATAGACTGGGCCTATAATACATAAAAAATAATTGTTTTATATTCTAAAAAATAAAAACAAAGATTTTTTCGGTAATGTTTGGTTGTGTTAGTTTTATTCTCTTATCTATGATTACTTTTCATTTTTTAGATTTATGCATCATTAGCGCCAATGTGGTTATTTGGTGAACGCTTATTCTTCCCATTTTTGTGACCACTTTTTCAAATAAAAGTCCCATAAGAGATATTTCTCCTCATCTCTACACTCCATAATCCCTCTAAGATAATAAATTATATCAACAGTTTATATCGATGTAGTAAAAAATCAAATAAAACAGTGTTTTGAATCAAAATATCTTCTTTGCATAATATGTCTGTATATGAACTACATTTCTTTAGAAAATATTATGTATATAATAAGGATAATATTGAACATGAAAGTATCGATACTCTAAAAAAACCCTATAGCACATCTCTAGTTTATTGTTGAAATTAATAATCGATAAAAATGACCGCAGGAAGGCAGAAATCGAAGAAGAACTTTCCGAAGTGGAGCCCCTTATTCAGGAAGCAAGATCTGCGGTGGGTAACATCAAAACCGAAGCTTTATCTGAAATCAGATCACTCAGAGCTCCCCCTGAGATCATTAGAGACATTTTGGAAGGAGTTCTGAGACTGATGGGCACGCAGGACACTTCCTGGAACAGTATGAAGACTTTTCTGGCTAAGAGAGGCGTCAAAGAGGAAATCAGGCAAGCATATATTCAACCCCATTCTTTCCATTTCCATATGAATGATTTTTTTTTAAATTGAGCAAATTTACAGGTCTTTTGACGCTAGCAGAATACAAACCGAAAACCGCCAAGCCGTCGAAAAGTTGATGGCCAACAAAAAAGAATCTTTCGATGCCAAGACAGCTAAAAGGGCTTCGGTAGCTGCGGCCCCGCTGGCAGCTTGGGTGGGCGCCAACGTCAAGTATTCCAAGGTTTTAGACAAGATCAGACCTCTGGAAAGAGAACAGGACAAGCTGAAGAAGAATTTAGATAATTCGAGGTCACAGCTAGGTCAGCTGAGTGCCGGGTTGTCTGACGTCGACGCTACCGTGGCTAAATTGAAGGAACAGCTGAGTATGTATACCAAGGAAGCTGCTGAGATCGAGATAGATTTGAACAGGGCCACTGAGACTTTACAGTCTGCTGAAAATTTGGTTTTCAAACTGGAGGATGAGTATGAAAGATGGCAACATCAGGTAGAATCACTTTTAGTGATGGGATAACTCGAGCGAAAATTCGCTCGAATACTCGATTATTGAAATAACCGACATCGCTCGATTATGAACGAGCGATGCAAGTGACGAACGCAAGCGATCCTAGAACCTAGAATGAAATAAATTGAAATTCGATTTTAATGTGACCTACTCGATAAAAAGTCGAGCGAATTTTCTACATACATTGCAGGTAGCAAATTTATACGACGTCGTATATACCGGGTGTGTCTCAAAAGTGGCTCACCCCTATTACTTTTTTAATTTTTTAGATAAAAAAATCAGATTTGGTATGTTAGTATATGACATAAATTAGGATTGATTGACGTATTCAATTGTTTTCTGTCACTTCCTGTTTCACCGGAAATGACTACAATTTTTGATTTTTAAATGGCACCCTCGGTATTTTTTTTTTTTGCTTTATTCGATAGAAAATGACATTCTAAATAGAATGACGTATCATATATCAACTTCTGACAAATTCGCTTAAAAACAAATTGTATTTTAAGTTTCAATCTAGAGTGCCATGGCTGTGTTAAAAACACTAATTTTTAATCAAGGAGCCTTGGCAAAATAGATTTGATAGTCTAATGTTTTTAGTGTCCTGCCCTGGCCGGTTAAAAGATGCCCAAATCGTATTTTTGATCATATCTCAATTTTTTTCAAATGGAACGAGGGTGGATCATTAGCATATTTCGAAAAAGATTTTTTTTACGAATAATTTGATACCACACACTTGGTACTTCGAGTCAAATTGTCGTTATGAACCGCATGTTACAATTTCAAATAAACCATATGCGAAAATGTCAAAAGTTGACATGTGATATGTCATTCTATTCAGAGTGTCATTTTCTACTGAATAAAGTAAAAAAATACCGACGGTGCGATTTAAAAATCAAAAGTTGCAGTCATTTTCGGTAAAACCGGAAGTGACCAAAAACAATTAAATATGTCAATCAATCCTAATTTATGTCATATACTAACATACCAAATTTCGTTGTTTTATCTGAAAAAATAAAAAAGTTATAGGTGTGATCCACTTTTGAGACGCACTCGGTATATTTATCCGTTGCGTATCTGAGAGACAAAATTTTACGACCTCCATCGACAATGCTTCGAAATAAACTAAATCAGGCGATCAAGCGAATCGCTCGGCGCTTACTACTTGCCGTTCATTAGCGAAAGAATAGAGAACAACGGCATACGGTCGAGTCGGCCTACAAACACGTAAACGTTTACGTACGCATGCGCATTTCTTATATTTTTTATCTTTTACGTGTATAAAAAATAGAAAATATAAGAAATGCGCATGCGTACGTAAACGTTTACGTGTTTGTAGGCCGACTCGACCGTATGCCGTTGTTCTCTAATATGTGCCCTGCGCACGCAGCTTACGCTTCATCCTACGTGGGAGACAAAAGCGCGCGATTCGGGCGGTGCGAGCGACGGCGTATTTATTAAACAACGTTTTCTTACGAAGGTGTCCTAGGCATATACGTATTATTTACAAATATATTCAGCCTAATCTCCAAAAAGTGAAGCCCAAACAGTGAAAGAACAATATGGAATTCTGCATAAGTCTATTTCACCCGGATATTCATTTAACTGCGCATGCCTCACCTGAAGAAGTTTTCATTGGTCGATGTTTTTAAAGGGAAGTGGGGTAGGCTGACATTTCACCTAACCTTCAATTTTATTTATATTTTTATTATTTATAATACATCATCATGGAGTTGGAAAAATATCAAAAAATAGTTGGAAACAATAAACTAAACAAAATCACTCTTTTACGCGCACAAATAAAAAGTAATCCAAACAGAACTAAAACAACAATCAATCGGGGTTTGGCGCAATCGCAGTTCAATCCATATCCGGGTGAAATAGACTTATGCAGTTTTAATATGGAGCTGGGTTATGTTGTCTTTCTCTTACGGCACAGAAACTGCACACGGGGTTAAAGAGGGAACCCTGAGTATATTTGTAAATAATACGTATATGGTCCTAGGTAGGAGAGTCGCGCGACTGAAGCGGCGTCGGAGACGATTGAAATATTTGATTTTAGTCGAGCGAGCGTGTTTGTATATAGTATACAACGCAAAAATACGTCATAAAAATGTGTGAGAATTATACAGAGTGTTTAATAAGTTCAGTAAAAAATTGCCCAATCATTTAGGATATGACCCATAAGTATTATCACGATCGATTGCTTGCTGATAAGGAATGGACACAAATAGCCGGAGACTTGGGAGAAACAATTGAACGAGAAATGCTAGACCTTGAGAAGAAAAAGGTTGACCTTTTGTACAAGGACGATAATGATGATGAGGACATAAACTTCTTCAAGTCTTTATTACTTCATGTCAAACTCCTGCCTTCAATAAACAAACTGGTCTTAAATTCGTAGCGCTGTTCAAGATCTATTATTAAACAAAATCCTCAAAATTAAGAACCATCAACAATTTTCACAGCTGGCCGCACAAAGGGACATCCCTGCGTACCGTCTCGGTATGCCTGTCCAACAGGATCACATGCGCAGACTTCATCATCAGACACATGTCAGCATACTAGCAATACTCAGCAACAACCCGAGAATCCAGATTTCTCACGTATTTAAATTAAGTTATTGTATGTTCTTGAAATATGAATAAAAAAAATAGAATATATTATTTATTTATTACCTCTTACCTAATCGTTAACAGTAAGCGCTCCTCCACTGATATAGGACACTCAAAGTTGGTCAAAGAGTGTCTAATTTTCGGAATAACTGCATTTAAAATATAATAAAATGTGTTAGTTGATATTTTTGTGTACTCATAAAATAGACATTCGTTTCCTGGGCTTTTTAACATATTAAATAAATTATGGAATTCTCCTGCAATTCCACATGCTTGCCCTTTTCAGATATATATTATTTGTCGGCCTTCTCTTACGCCTTTTTCGAATTAAGGATGTTTTTAAATATATATTATCCAACATTGCCACTTTACGATTACTATGCGACATGTTGTCTTTTAATATTGAACTGAAATTTTTCTAATATTTTTTCCGTACGGATCGCTCTCGAGAGTCGCCTATACACAGGACAACATATACCACAGCGCGCGTCGCGCTCCTCGCCCTCTGTTGTCGCACGCGTCGCTCGCTCGCTTTTGTCTCCCACGTAGGACGAAGCCTTACTGCTTGACGCTTGGCGTTAACGAGTACTTACAACATGCGACGGACAAAAAACGGTATTTTTAAATACGAGCGATATTTCGCTCGAGTGATCACTCGGTTATTGCAATCGTTTGATACTCGAGTACTCGATTATTGAAATTAATCGGTTTTTCCCATTTACTAATCACTTTATTTAAAGGTTTTTAAAAAAAGTACTTCCATAGTTTTTTATTCAGTGATAAATATAATTTCTATTTCTTTTAAAAAATGTAAATTTATTAAGTATTTACGTTTTTATTTTAATTCTTTGCAACCTTTTACTGAATATTTACATCAAAACGTAAAATACTGCTTATTTGTTTTTGTAGTTGGTGGAACTATCTGATGAACTACAAAGCCTCCAGAATTACAGCTTGTTATCTGCAGCGTTCATTATGTTTTTATCAGAAAAATCCGACTCCCAGCGAATAGAAATCATGGAAAAATGGAAACAGGCAGTGGGAACAATCAAGTTTGATTTTCTTTCATTTTTCTGTACGGAGAGGGAGCAGTTGCAATGGCAGACAGAAGGACTCGCCGGTGACAAGTTTGCCCTTGAAAACGCCCTTGTTATTAAAAAGGTTTGCGGTTATATTTCAGAGGAATAAGTTAACATAGAGGAGACCTAAAATATATGCAAAGAGAATATGAGAACAATAAAATATTATTCTTTTAGGGTTCTCTAACTCCACTAATCACCGATCCTACTTCTTGTGCTGTTCAGTGGATCAAAACTCACTATGGTACAACGAATAAGAAGAATTTTGAGTTTATATCTGAAAGTTCCTCAAAATTCAACACTATTCTTGAAACTTCAGTCAGGTAAGCTATCAATAGATATGTTTAAATGACTGTTTTATTTCTGTTTGTAGATTTGGTAAAACATTGCTGATAGAAGAAATTGAGGAGTTGCCTCATATTCTAATTCCGTTGCTTAGGAAACAGATAATTTCTGAAGGTAATTAAAATATTACAAATCATCGACATATGATCTACTAACCATATAAATTGGTGTGTTTTGACCCAATACATACAATCAAAATGTGTATAGCTCTTAGATCAGTGGTCGAAGTCGATTCAGTGCGAGTTCTTAATTCGTGTCTATAGTTGATATCAAATAAACTTTTATTCCCGTGATTAAGCTTGACCGGCTCAGCGTTGCCCACTTTTACATATTTTCTTTTAATCAAAATATTTCAGGAAACAAAAATAAATTAATTACAAATATATAAACACTTATTATTTTTATCAACAAAACTCACCTTCTTAACAGCACTTAGGGGACATAAAGGGCCATTACTGCTTTTCCGTTCAAAATATTCTAATAAAGTTGCAATGAGTTTTTTACAGCTATTAAATCTCGTACACTTCGCACTAAAAAGGTTCTAAAAAAACAATGTTTGTGTTAAACATTTTTAAGCTTAAAGTATCACAACACTATTTATTTAAACCAAAAACTCGTAATACGAAACTAAAGTGTCAAAACGAATGGCCACATCAGGAAAGAAATAAATAAATGTGGCAACTTGACATTTTAAAAATTTAAATTCTAGTTAGTCAATAATGCCATGGCGCCGAATACGTCCATAGTTAGCAACAATTAATTTGAAAATCGCGTCCTCGATTACGTAACTAAAAGTTCAATTGATATCAAATATATAAATATAAACTACATATAAATCGGTCTTTTTAATTTTAGGGGAACGAAAAATGATAAAGATTTTAGGCAAACAAATTGATTATCATGAAGATTTCAAACTGATATTGTGCAGTCGAAATGAGCATGTAAAAATATCTGCTGAACTAGCTCCATACTTAATAAATCTAAGTTTTAACGTTACCTACAATGGATTTATTGGTAAGCATGCAGAATTTTATTATGTAATTCTACAATCTATTTGTTAGACAGCCAGTCGGCTTTCGATAATTATGGAACTCTACCTACCTAAATATTCGCTCATCTCAGCCATATTGAAATTGAAGAGCTCCGTTTAAAATTTCTATCGAGACTTAAAAGTGCTAATGACAGTTGAGCTCATGACTAACTGTCTAGTGAATAAGCTGTGGGAATGATTTAGACGATATAAGTACTATAGAATTGAAAGAAACAGCGTCACAGTGGCCATTTCAATGACAATCGTTAATAATTTCTGTTGTCCCCCACCCCACATGTATTAGCTTTAGGTCAATATATAAAACATTACATATGTATGATAATTTATGTATAATATCATTTTTGAACCCGTTTGCTTAATCCGCAAGCACATATCTGGTACTCCCGAAAGGCCATCTCACAACTATCCACTTAGGAATGGGGAGCACGATCTTTATCTGCCAACCCCGAGCTCAGAACTAGTTAAAGGTTCAATCACAGTTTAAAGAATATAAAATATATCAGTTGGCCTACTCTAAGGAATTCTATTGTTATTTTGACTTCAAAGGCGGCCCGTGACCCTTCGAGGTGACAAAAAATTTGTACGTTTACCGGGTGCAGCGGAAGTGCTATTTTATCAGTCAGAACGCTGGCCGTATACGAGGGATCAACTAAAAATACTAAGGATTTTAATACAGCAAGTAGAAAAATAAAAATACAGTACTAGTTTTATTGATAAACAGTTTTAGGCGTCTTTAATAATTGATTAATATTTATTTACTTTCTTCTTATTATTATTTAATAACATATCTCATTGTTTACAATTATAAATACGATATGAATTCAAATGTGAAATAAAAAACGGGTTTTAGTTAAGTACATTATCTTATAATACTAATTTATTCATGTTAATTTTACAACAAAATAATTTACATATTTTACCACCAATGTTAATACATAACGATTATAAATTCTTATTATATACATATATATACAGGGTGTCCCAGAAATAAGTGCAAATATTTTCAGGGGTGGTAGATCTCGACAAAAGAAACATATTTTCTCTTTGTCGTTTTTCAAATAAGTCCAAAATAACGGAGTTATTGTATTTTGAAAATTTCAAAAAAAATTATTTTTTGCTGAAATTTTGAGAACCACTGGATATTTTCTGGATTTTCTTTCTTGTAAATTTAATATAATACCTATGTTGCCATATTATCAAGAAATTAAGTTTTTTTACTAAAAACTAAAAAAATTCCAAAAAAAAATTTAAAAAAATTTCGAATTTTCAAATTTTTTTTTCGCGAAAAAAACCTAATAGGCGTGTTTCTGGGGTTGAACTATACTACCAGTTAAAATATTTGCACTTATTTCTGGGACACCCTGTATATATATTCAGGTGAAATGGTGAAATATTACAAATAAAAATATACATAATACAGATTACAATGTTATATCAGGATAGTATTTGTAAAGTTTCTTATACATTTTTCTTAAACTAAAGCAAACGTATAAAGTAAAGTTAAATAAACTTAAAAAATAAAGTAGGTTTTAACAAAAATGACATTTCCTAAACTTAAATGTATTTTTAACACAAAAGAAGTTAACACATAAATAAGTAGGAATACATAATGATCTTTTGTCACTCAACTTGAAATGTTTATGTCAATGTAGATTTTTAAATTTTAAATTGTCCTTATAAGAATAAACCCTTGAGGGTATTGAGATAGTCCTTGTAATTGTAGTGTTATCAGTAACGAGTTTTACATGGCTAATGCTTAATAATATTATCTTTATTTGATTTTACCGTTTTAATATCTATATTTATAAATTTTGGTGTATAATAAATCCGGACCCTAGTATATAAACTTATAAAATACTCATATGGGAAATTGTTACATGGATGCTCAAAAATAATTTTACAAAAATCTTTTTTAAGCTGTGCACCAATTTCTTCTTTAAATGCTAAGCTATTAAACTGAGTAATAAAAATACTTTCCAATTTTAATATGTATTCAATAATATCTCTAGAAGGAATGGTTAGGCCACCAAATGGAATTTAATTTTCATAGGCTTTTAATTTGCAAAAAAATAGTTCTTCTTTAAAAAGTGTATCCGTATTATTAGTAAAATTAACACATACATCGCAAGAGTGACGTGTTATACATTTTTTTAAGAGATACCCTGTCACGTAGACTAAGGCATTTCCTTCAGGACTTTTTAAACTAATATAATCGTTAGTGCAGACCCTAAGCGGTGTGTATGTAGGAACAGCACAAACGTTATTACAGGATTTAACAAATTCAGGTGTTAAGTTCAGAAATACATCAGTGCCGTAATCTATACAGTTAGCGGTCTCAACATTGTCAATATATCCTAATGCAAAAATCTTTTTAAATGATCTGCAAAACTGTATAGGTGTAGGATTTTTCGCATTTCCACAACAATTCCTTATTTGACCGAAAAAGTTATCGATGCAGTCTTGGTTGAGGTTTCGAGTCAATAAATATTTATATCCTTTAGCTTGTAACATTTCCCAAAGAATTAGGATTGACTTAATTGTAAGGCGCCATCCAGAACTTATTTGAAACATTTTTTCCATCAAAACTCAACACTTTTATGCTTTTAAAAAGCCTATCCATTTCCTGTAATAACGTTTTTTGTTTGTCAGTTCCCATAAAAGCTCGAAAATTTTGTAAGTTATTATGGTGCGTTTAGACTTGAGCACGCACGAGCTGAGCGAGCGCGCACGGCTTTCGTTCGCGCTCTCGGCTCCGTTCAAATTAAAAACTTATTTTTCGACGAATGAAGTAATCCATTTGTGCGCGCACAGCAGAATTGTGTTGGCGAAAATAATGGACGACCAAGAAATAGTCGAGGCTGCAGTCATTGTTATGCACAGCTTAATTATTAAAAAGGAGAAAAATCGAAAACATCGTCGCTGGTGGCAAACCCAAATTTTTAGAAATCTATATGATTTATTGCAACAACTTAATGTCTGAGGAGGGCTATGATCAGTTCAAAAACTTTACAAGAATGACCAGACCCGACTTTGAATATTTACAAAATTTAACACCAAAATTACGAACAAAAGATACAAATTTTAGAATAGCAATTTCATTAATATCGACATATTCAATATTAATTTTATTTACAAGATCTTGCCATGCGTTTTTTTTTAATAATACAAAGAATTTTTAACATCCCATAATATAGGCAACTTTTCATATTCTTCAATTAATAATAACGAAGATTCATTGATCCACTCCATAATTTTAATAAAGAAAACGAAAAAAAATCACACACGCACGCACGAACGCAGACAAAACAAATTGCCGGTGCAAACTGAGCGTTCGCGCACACATAAATCCCTTTGAGCACGGACCAAAAGCCGACACCTGACGGCTCACGTTCGCGGCTGCTCGCGCACAGAGAGATTCAGAGTGAGCGTGCGCGCACAGCCGTTTACACTTGAGCATTCGCGGAGGATCAGTGCGTGCGTGCTCAAGTCTAAACGCACCAATAGAATTTAACAAATCAAATAAATCGTTCATTTTTGAAATAGCTGTTGTCGTTGCTTCTTTTGGCAGTACAATAAATTCACATTAAATTCAATATAAGTATGCATAGCTACCGCCACTGAGTGACTAAATATTTGGGACGCTAACTTCACTTTCATTTTTTGAAAGCTATTGGGATTTATGTGATCATTTGTTAATCTATGTGCAAGTTTATATTGTTTAGTGCTATATCAATATTATACAGCGTTTCAAGGTATTCCTTCTTCGTTTAACGAAAATATATATGAATAAAAGTTGTTTCTGGCTGATTTAAGCAGGTGAGGTGTATCAAATAAATAAACAAGCTTTAAATTATGATCATCAATTTAGTAAAAACTCTAAAAAACTTGTCAATAGCAGAAGAAGTTGTATGCAGGTATTTTTATTACCTGACGATAAAATTTGGACTTTCCAGGTAGGTAGTTAAAGTTAAATACAAACATCTAAAAAGTAAAACATGCTATTTAAAAAAATGCAAATATCTTAAATAATAATTTAATATGCACTTTGCAAACCGGTAAATACTGCAAAATCCAAAACATAATAGTAAAGTATCTACTACTGCTCTAAAATATCTACTAAAATAATAAACTAATTGTTAAAAATAAATATTTTGTGCATATTCCGAGTAAAATCTTTTCTTAATTTATATGTATATTTTCAAACCAAACCAAACCAAACCAAACCAAACAATTTATTCATAGTTAGGTTTCCATAATTATAATATACTTAATATGTCTAATACTTTAATTATTATATACTTAATATCCTATACTATATAAACACATACTTTCCTTCATCTTTTGGGTACCTAAAGAACGATATATTGTCTGTCATTCTACTTTCACAACCATCCACTGCACAAATATTTCTAGTAGACATTTTATTCACAATTCGAACAAAACAACTAAAACACTATTTTTGGTTCACCCTATGCGTCGGGCCGAAAACAAGACTAAAATAAACTTGGAACGCTGTGTGTCGAGCAACGGATGTAGACTGACCCAAGTCTACAAGACAGGCGGGGAGCGGCGGGAGGAATTTTGATACGGGCGAAGAGTGGGTCAACTGATATATTTTATATTCTTTAAACTGTGGTTCAATACTGTACAATGCCAAAAAATGTACAATCATCTGACTTTGAATATCAAGTCGCTTTCATTCTTTCCCGCATTTCGCAAAGCTCTGAAATCATACTTACTGTTGAGAGCCCTATATGCGGTACACGACTTTTTTGTTGATGTTTAATCATGAACAAATTTGAATTTTAAAATTTTGATCATCTCACACACTGGTTAAAAGTCTAGTATTTAATGTTTTATGACTCTTAGATGATTATATCCATTTACAATTTTCCTATTGTAAAATTTTATTGATACGCCTTTTTTTGTGTTCTGCAATGTCCATGTATTAATGTAGTAATTTGTTTTGAATTTTATGATATTTTTTATTATTTATATATTTTTTGTGGTTTTGTTTGTTTTGTAAATGCTTTGTCGATGAAGCTATTTTGGCTTTTTGTACATAAAGCGTTGTTTATTTATTTATTTATTTAATATTGTTTTAGAGCAACTTTTATCAGCTGCTATCAAACAAGAAAAACCTGAATTAGAGTCACGTAAAAAAGAGCTTTTACAACAAAACGAAGAGCTTCAAGAAAAATTGCAGTCTCTACAAAATCAACTGCTCGAATCTCTGGCAAACTATTCTGGAAACATACTCAACGATAAGAATCTTTTGAATACTCTAAATGAGACCAAAGCTAGTTCAACGGCTGTATCACTAGCTTTGGACGAATCAAGATCTGTTCAAGCTCAGTTGAGAAAAGAATACGAACTGTATTTGGATATATCCACCTACGGAAGTCGACTTTACTTTGCTTGTAATGAGTTTAGCCGATTCAACGTGCTGTATTCCCTGAGCACGGAGGCTTATACGAAACTTTTTATAAATTGTCTACAAACAGTGCAGGTTAGATATGTAACAGTTTTTCTTTTCTATAGAGTATATTTCTTAAATAATAATATGTTCGGGACGGTGTACTAGGGACATGCAATATTGCCACATTTTATTGGCTATTCACAATCCTCTACGAAAATACTTTTTTTTTCTACAAAAAAATGTCTAAATATTTTGAGGACACTGTATATTTTCTTTTAGACGATTAATCAAAGTTTGGAGCTACAAAATAGACACCTATTCCAATCAGTCTACAATTATATGGCACGAGGAATGTTTAAAAATGATAGACTCGCTTTTTTAATGCATCTAATATATAAAATGTGCCCTATCGATATACCCGAGAAAGAAATGAAGATCTTTCTTAATAACACCCTGTATAAATCGGTTGGAGACACGGATTCCACGCATATACCTAGCTGGATACCACCTTTATCATCTTTTAGCTTCGTCAACTTAATGGTATTAAACTCCTAGAGAATATGTAAAAGCAGAGGTTTTAAAATAAACTTAAACTGATTTTTTAGAGCTCCTTAAGCGAATTGGTTGATAAATGTCAGATGACAGAAGGCCATTTGTGGAGTGAATTTATGAAAAGTGCACAATGTGAAAGAAACTTCCCTTCGCATGTCAAATTGACGGAATTTCAAAAAGTGCTTGTAGTTCAGTCTCTGAGACCTGACAGGTTGCTGTCAAGTATCGAATGTTGTCTATTAAGATTAGCAGGTAAGTTAGTAAAAACTATAGACATGTATAGAAGGTAAACTAATCATTGATAAATATATCTGGTCACTTAATCTGCACTTGTCTGTATTTTAGAAAGAGATAAATATAAATGACTGGTTGATAGACAGAGAGACAAAATAAAAGGCGGCATAGAGTGTTGCCTGTTTTTACGTTTATAGGAAAATGCGCCAAGAAAAAAATAAACTATTATATTGTAGTTGCAAAACATCTTCCGATGCACGTCATCAATCATATCGATATTGACACAAGTCTATAAACCTGACTAATTTTGGCAAAAATGTTTAAATTTGTTGTATAATTTAAGATACCAGCTTTTCATGTTACTTTATAGAGCAAATGATTGTAACAGATATTTAATTTAGATTAAAGCTGCAAAAATTAGTTTAAACCGAATTTTATTATCGCTATGTCGGCCACATTGCGCCGTTTTCAGCAAGGTTGTCGTTTATTATTTGACAATTATCCTACTGTCACTCATTATTTTGTATAATATCGTGTTGTTGTTGAAGCTTTGCGAGTAGTTCTCGTTTTTTGGTCTATTTTCATAGTCTTTTTTTAAAAATTGAACTTTTAAGCACAAACAGTTCTTTTAAGAACTAAATTTTCGAGTTTTTGTAACGCATTTCTTGAAATTGTGTGTTGAAAATATGCCGAAGCATTTAAATAGTCGAAGCAAACAGCTTGTAGCTCCTCTGATAAACTATTTTGAACGAGAACGTGACAATAAAGGTCCTCTATTACCCTGGACTGCAGTCAGAGAAGTAAGTTTGATTGATAAGCACATTACACCACTTTCAAAGTTATTTCTAAGTTAGTTTTTATTAAATTCTGTGATTATTAGTTTGTGCATTAATAGCACCCTCTTGCTTGTTATTACCACTTATGGCGTTGTAAGATGTACATCAATAAATAAATAAATAACGCTTAGAATAATCTTCATAATGGACTAGTTTTTGCCAATATGTAATAAGTAAAATAAGCTATAAAACAAATAAATCAATTAATTACTAAAATATTAGTTATTAAATTAAAAATAAAACGTAAAAATATTTAAAAAATGATATAATGAATATATTGTTTGTCACTTTTAAATTAAGATTCATCTCATAAATCCATCACAATGTGGCAGCATTGTCGCCAACGCTTGTCACTTAAAGTTGATCACGTGTATCGGAAATTGTTTTGCAATTACCATATCTAAGCTAAATATAATCCATTACAACAGTAGTAAAATAAGTAACTAGTATCACTATCATATAACCGAGTATCACAATCAACTTAAAAATGTAAACAAAGAAAAAACTCTAAAAATTTCACGTCTAGATAAACAACCAAGGAATTGTCAAATACAATTTTGAAAGGCAAAAATTGACATATATGAGTTTTCAATTTTTCTATAATTTTTTTTAATAAATAAGTGACAACTTGAGATATAAAATCTTTACACAATATTAAAAAAAAGTATTGTACGTTTTATGTCGAGGTTAAAAAATACACTTAAAAAAAATATGTTTATTTTTTAGGTCTTAAAACTGTTGATCCGCCTATTTTAAATCTACATAACGTTTTGAAAGAATCCACCCATTATGAACCAATTTTGCTTTTAACCAACCCAGGTTCAGATCCTTCAATAGAAATCAGGGAACTTGCTGCACAATTGAATCGATCTTTCGAAGAGGTAATTAAGCAAGAATTGATGCAATAAAAAGTTTAGACATAATTTTTTAGATTGCTATGGGCAGTGGACAAGAATCGCAAACATTAACTAGCTTGGAAAGATGTGCAAATGAAGGCAAATGGTTGATTTTAAAAAATCTCCATTTACTCACGTACTGGTTGCCTACTTTGGCTCAAAACTTGAAAAATGTGCGAGGTTCTCATGATTTCAGGTAATATATTGAAGCCTGTAACCAGCAATACCCTAAATCCAATTCATTCAGAGACTAACACTGCCAGATAGTAGTCTTTATATGTATACTTATATTTTCTTTTGTATATTAATAAATAATATTTTCTTGCCTTTAGCTGTGTATTTTTTCTAATTTCGAAAAATTGAAAGTCTCTACTTTCGATTTTTTTATTTTCTCTACTAAAAATAAAATAAAAAGTAAAAAGAAAATTGTTTTGCTTGTCGTAAAGTCGTTCTGGGCCTCCTCTTCATCAGGTGGGCTGTCCAGGGGCTGGTTCTCACCGATACGGAATTTGGTTCATTTCATATATATTTGAGCGGGCCGAAAAACGCTTTTTACCATCTTTTGACGGGAGATGCGCTAATATCTCACCGACACTTTACTGCATCGTTTGTTGATATTGAAAACGTTTTGCTTGCCGTATCGGTGAGAACCAGCCCCTGGACAGCCCACCTGATGAAGGGTAGGCCCAGAATCCGGTTGTGGGAGTGGAGCTTGGTTCCCTTTTTTTTACTTTACTTTTTATTTTTCTCTACTTTCGATTTTTCGAAATTAGAAAAAATACACAGCTAAAGGCAAGAACATATTATTTATTAATATACACTAAAGCTGTAAGAATTTTGTTCATTTCATATACTTTATTTATTAGCTATATTATATTTTTGTTGTCTAGTCCTTAAAAAATCTTAGATTGGTGACAAATCTCGGCCTTATGCAAACTGTGTTTAAGATTGAAAATTTTAAATTACTGATAAGAAAATACTTAGGAATTGATATATTGTTACTTGCATACTTTATAGCATAAACACTTAACTTAGGCATATTTATATACAGATTATGGCTGATATCTGAATCAACAGACAAATTTTACTTTGTACTGTCATACAACAGTCTGAAAATAGCATATGAAGAGCCTCAAGGTGTTGGAAATAATATTCAAAGAATATATTCATGGTTGAGTCAGAAATTTGGCAAATTTGGTCCAAATGCTACGAGACTATTCTTTGTTTTTACATGTTTTCATGCCTTGTTACAAGAAAGAAGAAATTATATACCTCAAGGTCAGATGCTATTTCTCTTGTGTTTGTGGTTGCAGATTTTGATTATTGGCTTTTTATATAAAAAAATACACATTTGTGATTTTACGGTTTTAAAAACCAAGGGAAAAATGTAAAACTTTGTATTAAAAAACTTTTCTTTAGGTTGGCATAAGTTTTATGAATTCAATCATACGGATCTCCAGACAAGTTTGAACCTGACTGATCATTATTGGCAGAGTGAGTCTACAAACATGCCGTGGGACTACATAAAAGGCCTACTCTTCGAAGCGGTATACGGTGGACGAGTTGAAGTATCTGAGGACCTCCAAATTCTAGAAACTTACTTAAAAATGTACTTTAAAGGAGATACACTGAGTCACAAATGGAAGCCTATGGGACTGAATGTGAACTTACCAAACTCAAATCAAATTCAGGTAAAAAGAATAAGTAATAATAATATAAAATAAATAATTGTTATAAGATCATTCTCAGCTGCATCAATACAATAAATCATATTTCTTTATTCGTCCTGTATATTTTTTCTAGGATTACATGAACGCGATCAGGCAATTTCCTAAGAAAGATTTACCTTCATTTTTTGGTTTGCCTGAAAATATAGATAAAGCTAGAGAAAAGCAACTTTCTATGCAGCTAATTACAAATCTAAAAGGTATGTTTCATCCACAGAGATAAATACAGTTAAGGGTTGAAACCTTTGGTATTACAACAGCAAAACAAAACATTAATTTCTCAATACACTAAAACACTTTATAGTACGAGAGCTAGCAACGTCGGAAAAACAAGTATTTTAAGACGTCTCTTCGATATATCTTTTACTATGCTCTCTAGAACAGCATGCGGCCCGTCTGGCTGTCGGTAAACGTTGCGTTCCCTACTGCACATTGAAAGAAGATCCTATATTTTTATTAGCCCTTTAAATTCTAGTATTGAATATAAACCGACCGAGTCTCCATAGCTCAGAGCGTAGAGGTTCTGCCTATCAAGCGAGGAGTCAGAGTTCGAATCCGGGTCAGTGCAAAAACTTATTTATTTTATTTTAGTTTATATTCTGATAGTAAAGTATTAAATATTTGTTTTTTTTTAATCACCGGAATTATTTAATACTTTACTATCAGAATATAAACGAAAATAAAATAAAAAAGTTTTTGCACTGACCCGGATTCGAACTCTGAATCCTCGGTTCGTAGTCGGAAAGTCTACGCACTGCGCTATGGAGACATGTTCGATTTATATTCAATACTAGAATTTATAGGACTAAATTAAAAAAATATATATAGGATCTTCTTCCGATGCGCAATAGTGAACGCAACGGGTATCGGCAGCCAGACGGGCCGCATGCTGTTCCAGAGAGCGTAGTAAAAGATATATCAAAAAGTTAAAATACTTTCTCGAAAACGTTGCTATACTATTACTTGTGCACTGGACGCGCGTTTCGCTAACCATGTTAGCATCATCAACAGATACAATTTTAAGATAGAAGTATAGTAGTAATATACAGACAAAATTTGACTAGTGAGAAAATTTATTCTAGGTTTTTACCTGAAACAAAGCAACATTTCTCCATCTCAAATAAAGACAAACTACAAAGAACTAAGCCCTATATTGTCACTATGGAGGAAATTGAATCATGGACAGGATTATATAAGACTCTCAATCCCAGAACAAACACCGTATGACTCTTCTATCGAGACATACATAGCTGAGGAATACTGTATAGGATTAAGGCTGATCCAAACCATTCATAAATCTTTGACAAATCTAAATAAGGTGGCCAAAGGAACTGTGGAACCTGACGAAAATGATGTTTCTATAGCAGAAAGTTTAATATTCTTGCAGGTTTAATATATTTTTTATGTATAGCACATATTTTTTTTTAATAAGAACATTTTTTAGACCCCTAGAGTTTGGCTGGATATATGGAAAGGTCCAAAAGATCCCAGCTCTTACTTAAGAGCTGTTTTGCAGAGAATGACAGGCATATCTAAGTGGAACACTAGTAATAAATCTGAACTATTAAGGAAACCTGTTGATCTTTCATTCTTTTTTTACCCGGACGCGTTTTTGGCCTCGCTCAAACAAGATTTCTCAAGGTTTGACTCTCTATAGGAAAATCAATAAAAGTTGGAATGCACGTCATCAAAATGCACGTTGCAATGTTGCCATGGCTTCTTTTTTTGCTCTGACTTTTGACAAGTGTCGTCTTTTGACAGTCGCAGTCACAAGTTTAGATTGGAATGCTCAGCTTGCCGCCAAAAGTTATAATTGTTTTGGAGCGCATACTTTGTAGGGCGCTGCTATAGCGGTTGCTAAGAAAAACCGCAAAAAAGAACAGAAATTATTTTCCCTTGTCAAAGTCAGAATCTTCAAAAATTATAAAATATTTTAAAATTTAAATCGCCCTCATTGAAAAATACCGAAAAGTGTTTAAAGCGTCCATTTTCAAAGTAATTATCGCTATCTTGTGAGTTTAAATTAAATTTTATTTACGGAAAGCGTACTTCTTCATACCAGACAATTCTATTGTCTGATTCCCTTACTTCTCGACTTGACTAAAAGATGGCGCCTGAAAAAGTCTTTTAATTTCTGGCGGATACGTTGCGGTTGTGCAGGCAACCAGTAATACATTTTTAATTTCTGGCGGATAGGCCATTTTTCTTGACAATAGGTATTTTATACATGTCCTTATATAAAATAAAGTTTCTTATATGCAACACACTGTATTTTAAAAAATTAAAAGAAAATAATAAATTTGAATAAATAATATTTGGCGACATTATTCCGCAAAAAGCCGAACCGCTCCGAAATTATCAAAAGCTTTGGACAGCGACCGTTGTACCAATCTAAACTTGTTTCTTTTATCTATGGTCGCAATTTTATCTAAACAAAACGCGGATTTAATTGCAAATTTGTCAAAAAAAACTTCTATTTATAGCAAAATTTATTTTGGTAGCAGTTTCGACATCTTTGATCAAATGTACGTCAACTTTTATTGATTTCTCTATAGCTTTTTTAAAACTAATTTAATATTTTAGATCTGGCAACATACCACTGGATAACCTAACCTTACAAACTAAATGGCGCCAAAATTCAAATCCAACCGTTATTCTATCGGGTTTATTGATTGAAGGCGGGCTTTTTGAAAATACTGTTTTGAAACAGTGTCGTAACGACTCGGAAAGTGTTAACACTGCTCCTGATTGTTACTTGAATTGGATTGAGAAAGTGAGTGTCCATATACACTATTATTTTTTTCATACAATTATATTTTATATTTAGGTGAAAATGACTGATTCTGTAACATTTCCCCTGTACACCAACTCAAGTAGGGAACACAAAATAACTGACGTTCAAGTAGACTGCAACCAAAATGATAAAGATGAGTGGATTCTAAGCGGATTAGCATTCTATGTAGAGTATTAAAAAAAAACAAGATTAAAAAAAATCAAAAATAATTTATTGGTACACGAAATCGTCCATAGGAGCGAGTGTTTTAGTGTTGTGACACTCCCAAATCCAGTCAGGAGACGCGCACACTGACGATGGGTACATATCTTTCAGAAACTTCGCGTTAGTTTCGTTTGTTATCATTATGTCAACGGTATTGTCAACAGTGTCATTAATTAGCCTAGAAAATAAGACAAATAAATTTTATTAACCGCCTAAAGGTGGTACCAAAGATTATAAAATATAAGTTAGATACATTAGTTAATAAATTATTTTAAAAGAATATTTTTGTTGTCTTCATTTACATAAATCAAAAGTAATACAGAAAAACACTGTACTCCTGAATTAAAATGACAGAATACTTACCCATTATATGCAACTATATACTGTTTAAGTTTTCTGCGTAAGTCTTCCTCAAAAACATCATCAATATAGAAAATTTTGTTGTCAAAAATGTTTTCAAGTTTATTTTTAATTTCAAGGTCACCGTTACATTCCTCTCGCTCAGGCTCACTGTCTGTACTCCTGTCATATATGTCATTAGAGTTGTCATTTCTTTGTTGCTTTTGTTGTATCTCTCTTATCTTATCTTCTACGTCATACCCGCTCTCTTTTCTGAAAGTTGTGAACTGATATTGAATTAAAAAAATAAGGAATGAGAAATTTGCAAGATCGCGAAGGGAATTAAATATGGCTGACTTGATAAGTGGCATTCCAGTTTTGTTAATATCTCAAAATTATTGTAGGTAATTTGACTCCCATATTTATTTAAAAAAATTGTACTTACGTTTCATCTTCTGCATCCGACGGTTCGACAATTCTCTCATCATCAGAGGGAGGAAATTGATGTTCCTCCTCCTCCCAAATTTCCTCTTCACTCTCAGGTCCGTTATCTGCCTTGTCCAAAGCGTATCTCCTCCAAGGTAGTCGTTTTTTCTCATTATAACAGTCCTCTATCCATTTTCTTTTCACTATCTTCCCTCTACCTTTAACCTGATTGAATTTAGGAGTATTTGCAAATGCGCATCTAAATAAAATGTACTGGGTGGTTATAAAATCGTTGAATATACCTTATCATTAACTAAAAACACTCTTAGTCTTAGCTATAATTTCATTATCGTATAGTGTAATTATTTTTTAATTCTAAATAATATACAATAGTAGGTACGTCACGTCAAAAAGCGGAGCTTAACAACATTTCCAAATATCGGGGTAAATAAATCTAGAGATCAATTAAGCAATATTACAATACTACTTTTAATATAATTTATACACTTCAATTTTATAAAAATAAATCAATTTTAAAAATTATCTAGTAGTTTTAAACAGTTTGAGGTTATAGCAGGCTTGGTGAATTCTCCGCCGGTGCTGCCACCATCGGATAATACTGTAAAGAGCCGACTTAAACAAATATACGGGTTTAAATAGCGCGTACATAAAACATTTGTTATATGTATAATTATTGTAAAAGTGTTAGCAAGTTAGCCAATTATAACTTTACATTTTTCACTTTCATTCAGAAAACTTGCTAATAAGTTCATTTAATTAAACTTTGTATAATAATCATATACAAAGTAATAATATAGATATTCCTATGTACAGGGTCCGACAATAGTGCGTCGGGCATCTGCAGCTCCAAGAATAACCATACCAATAGGTACGGTAGGCTATTAAGATCGACAAAAAAACGGTTTTTTTAATTTCACTCAAAATGAGTTATTTGGGTCATAAATGACCTAAATACATAATATTTTCATGGTGTCTGTCTGTCCGTCTGTAACACGATAACTCAAAAACCGCTAAACCGATTTTAACCAAATTTGGCACAAAAATACTGTGGCCCCGAAAATCTGGCCATTAGTTTTTGGTGGGGTGGGGGGTTGGTAAGGGGGTATGGGAGGGGGTTAAAAATTTAAAAAAATCATAACTCCAAAATTACAGTAGCTAGCGAAACGCGGTTTTCAATATAAGATTAGGAATAATATTTGCAACAAAATTTGTAATAACATCAAAATCAGTTAAAGTCACAGTTTTTGAGATAAAAAAAAATTGGAAAAATTCCTTTACTTTGAAACTAAAAGAACTGCCTACCAACTTTTTATTAACATATTTTAGTATGGGCGGCTATACGTGCCTCCCGGCGCCAATTTTTTTTTATGAAAGGCTGAATATTATATTTTTTATTTATTTAATAATATCTTTGAAACTATCGAAATATATTTACTCATATCTTAGGATTATGTATAGTGATCTGAAAGGAAGCCAAAAATGCAACAATATACAGGGTGTTCCATTTAAAAAAAATCATCCCAATCTACTCACACTTTTTTGAGCCACCCTGTAGTAGAGGTTAAAATATTTTCCTAAAATACATCCTAGTATATATCTTACCCATTTTTTATTAAGAAAAAAATAAAATTACCAAAGTTTTTTATTCTAGGAGCTATAGATGCCTGACGCACTATTTCCGGCCCCAGTAAAGAATTAAACCTTAATTAAACGTATGATATTAAACACAACGAAAATAAACTCAACTGAATAATTGCTTACTTGGGATTTTACCTACATTTAAGGCTTTGTTTGGAAAGGTTTTAAGCTCCGCCAAATAATGTGACGTCAGACTTTTAAGCAGTCTACTTCTACATACATCAAATGTGTACAGGAATTGTCCCAATCCGGTTTATATTTTGCTCCCATCGACAGTGCCATGGTTCGCAAACTAGCTCTGTCAGGATTCTGAATACCGCTGATCACCAGAACCACACCTTCTAGTAATCTAGCAAATGGCTTCCTTTGTTTTTGTAGCTTGAGTTTCTTTTTTCTTTGTGGTGTGTCTTCTGAGGACTTTCTTTTTTGCGTTTCGTTATTTTTAGTTTTTGTTTCTACATTTCTTTGCTTTATTTGTATCTCTTCTTTTTCTTTAGATCTTTTTTTATTCGGAGTATTATTTTTCAGTGGCTTTTTATCAACATCTTCGCTCTCTTTAGTTTTTTTGTGCTGTTCCTTCTTCCTTATTGTTTCTTCATTTTTTCTTTTTTGTTCATCTTCCAATTCTGCTTTTTCTTTGGCTTTTTTCTGAACTACTTTATCAATTTTTTCATTGATATCTTCCTCATCTTTACTATACAACAATTCATCCCTATTTCTAGGTTTCGGACTGTCCATTCTATTTTGATAATCTTTAGAAGGCCCATTAATTTTGATTTTTTCTTTGACAACAGGAGATCCAGAATGTGCAGCTGTGGAAGCTTCCCTTATTGCAGCTGCTCCTAAAAAAATCTTAATTTAAAAAATTCTATTCAATATTCCTCGATATTGCCACAGCTAGTTTAGTTACTTTTAATTGATGAACACAACATTGACAAAAAAAGAACACTTCACTGTTAGATACAAAAAATAGATAAATACCTATTCCCTCCAAGGCAACAAATTAAACAAAACTCACCTCTGAGTGTGTCGTCTTTGATTTCTTTCTGTTTAAAAAATAAACTACCTGCAGATATATTATCGGGAGACTCTGGCCTAATCAAAAACTTCCCCATAGTTTGTTTTTTAGGTTCCGCTTTCCCGCCACTATTTGAATAGAAATTGATAAACGAAAGCCCATACTGAACGTGTCTATTAAACGGCTGGGTACAAACAATTTTAAGTCTATCCCATTTTTCGTTTCTTTCAGGCTCAGAAAAGTCTTCCTGTTTAAACATCCGAACTTTGTTGATGTTTTGACTTTGTCTAGACTCTAAGGGAGTCATAAACGACGACATGACTAGTAGAACTTTATAATTTTCAGCGTTGGAAGAACGACAAACTAAGACTTCAATGTATGCAGAATGTTCATTGCCAATATCGATACCAGTGATAACATGAGGCTGATCAAGCTGTAAAACGATTGTGGCGGTTTTATCGCCGGCGTTTTTACATTTCCACTTTTTAGAGGGGTTGTTATCAAGCAAATTGCTAGCTACATGTACCTACAAGTAAATATATGTTTAGAACAATTAGAAAATAATTTCAAAGAGAATTTACCGGATCTTCACTGTTAAAAGTGACAATTTTATCAATATTTATTTGAGGCATTCTACTTGGTCTTCAAAAATTACAGTTAAACAATATTCTTTTTTTATTTTACTCTTGTTATTATTTACAAACAGCTGATTAAATAATTTGGCGGCTGAAATGTAAGGTTAGAAAATAAAATTTATTTATCAGATATTTACTGGTTGCCTATAATACAGAATAAACAAAATTTACACTTATTTTTTAAGTTTTAGGTCAATACACAGATAACACATAATAAGATTATGTGTTATCTGTGGTCAATATTTAAATTAAACATTACAATTTTGTTAAATAATTTTACTCTATCTGCTCTTAGCAGAGCTCTTAGTAACAAATTTATCAAAATGCAGTTCGATATAAACGGTAAAGTAGCTTTAATTACTGGAGGCGCATCAGGAATAGGATTATGCTTGGCAAAATTGCTTTTACAAAATGGTTTAAAGGTAAGAAATTATTTGCATTAATTATTATCCAAATATATAAAAGTACTTGATCTATTATATTGTTTTTAAAGGGTATAACGATAGCTGACGTAAATAATGGAGGAATGGCATTAAGTGAATTAATTCAAGAATTTGGAACAGATAAATGCGTGTATGTACAGACTGACATATCCCATAAAGATAGTTTTAAAAGTAAGTTATAAGTAATAAAATAATAACAATAATTATTATTAAGAGTATATATTCAGGGGCGTTTGAAATAACCATTGAAAAGTTCAAATCTTTAGATATGCTGATAAACAATGCCGGCATGTGTAATGACGCACTTTGGGAAAAAGAAATATCAGTAAATATTGTAAGTGTTTTGTTTTAATAAGATACAGGTGTTTTTATCTTAATAATATAGTATTTAAATTTGTTTTCTATAGGCAGTATAATAGATAAAACAATAAAAGAATTACAATAACAAATTTTTATGAATATAAATGTGTATAACTGGTTGCCTAATCCTAATATATAGAGATAATTTAATATATCAGTTATTTTGAATTTTTGAATGTAAGAGAATTTAAAAGAGTTTCTTTCTGGTTTCTTTCAACAGTAAAAAAAGTTACGTCCCCTTTTATGTTAATATTTTGATTCTTTTTGGATGATTGTATAGAATGGCACTATTAATGGCGTTCTTTTGGGTTTGGAAGAATATATTCCCAAGTATAAATCAGGACATGAAGGAGTTATTATCAACGTTTCATCTATAAGAGGTGTAGATCCATCAGGAGACCGACCAATATATGCAGCAACAAAGTTTGCTATTCATGGTAATAATATTATAAATTACTGATTTTTTGCAGTTTGTGGGATCTCATTTTTAATCCGATTTTTACAAACCCTCTGTATTCAGAGATGGGCCAACACCATGCAGGTATATTGTAATTTAAAGCAACTTATTTTATTTAGGTTTATCATTAGCTTGGGGGACTCAGGATCACTATAATCGAACTAAAGTCAAAGTGATATGTGTATGCCCTGGTTCAACAGCAACACCCTTGATAGCTAACCCTGTTGGTACAAATTTGGGACCGGCATATGAAGAAATTCGTCAAAAAAATGCTGGATCAAAGACACTACCCAGGCAAAGGTTAGCGTTTTTTTTGTGTTTAGGTTAGAAATTATTATTATACAGGGTGTCCAAAAATTCCATGGACATGAACTATTTCGAAATAAGTTAATTGCACACAATTTACCTCTATACAAAGATATATTTTTAGTCCTCAAGAATGTGCATCTGTAATTTTGGAAATTCTAGAAAATGCAAAAACTGGAACCGTATGGGTTGTGGAAGGTGGAAAGAAGATTCTGTATATCATGCCTGACAGATTTAAAATACAAGACGAATCAATATTAGTTTAATATAAAGATTTATAGCTTGTTAGAATTTCTGTAATTTTCTGTATTGAATAAATTATAATAAATCGAAAAAAAAAGATTTTAACCCCCTGTAGCTATAAAACAGAAGAGAACCGGACTTATGTTGATATAAAAGATATATCTTATTTCTACATGAGGAACCTCCTCACGAGAGATGATACATTTTTTTAAACACTCTGTATGTGGGAGAAATTTTCACAAGTTGCACATTAAAGCATTGTCTTTTAAAAGGAAAAAAAAACAATGTTGGTTATAATAAATTCCCTCTTTTAAATAAAACAAAAAGCAACAAAAGTATACAAAGAATCTATCTCCCGTAAAAGTTTGCAAACAACAGAGTTCCATTAGTGGGGTCCTATTAAGAAATGTTTAATAAAATATGAAATAATAAAGCTGATATGCTCAGCCTTTTTTTTTCAAATTCTTTTTTAGCTTAAAATTTGACGTGGATGGTTCTAACCAGGAGTTTATATTTAAATTTTAAAATCCATCTACAAATTGTCTGGATATCATATTAAAGAAATCTCTTAAATAATTCATAACTCCTAAAGTATCATACAATATACCTCTTATTGTTATAAGTCTTCCTTTCTTAAATTTAAAACCCTCGAAAATTATATTTTATTTAAGAGGGTGGTTTTCCAAAAAGGCCTAAATTATTTAATATTCTACGTCCTGGATACTAACATGTTCCTTTTTATGTATTCTTTTTCTTCTTTGTTGTTATTTTGCTGTTTCTTCTTGTCATATATATAAAGAATAAGTTTTTAATTTTCCTAATGGTGAGATGTTTTATTTCCAAGAGAATTTGTGTGTCTATGTTACAACAGGAATATTTTATTTATAATTTGTTTTTGGACTGTTAAAATATACTTACTTTAGAGAGTCTTTGTGTGATTTTCAAGTATTTATTTTTGATATTAATGTAAAACAACGCAGAATAGGCCCATTTGTAATTAATTTGAATATGTTCATAACCGCATAAAGTGTGATACTCATCTCCTTAATGCAGATAATACAGATTAAGGCAAAATGCCATTAAATACGTTTAACTATTACTGTCTCAAATAAATTATATAAATAAAGCTTACTGTATAGAAGAAAGGTACCCAAGATATACAAACTAAAAATAAAAAAAATACATATATAAAATATAATTCAAAATAAAAACACAATTTTTTTTTGGTAGTTCTCTTTAAACGACCAAATTTGTTTAAATCGGCTAACCCTAACCAGAGTTATCCTTGTTTTAATAAAAGCAAATTTAACCTTCCCCCACCACTTTATGAGATAGAGCAAAATACGCTATATCAAAAAAATTACAAATTTCTCGATGATTACAACAGCAATATTTAAAATACCTGTTCACCTGTATATTTTTGAGAAAAATCCTGTTTTCTGATTGGCTATCAGAGATGCCCCCCTAGCGGACATTTTTCGGACTTGAAAATGATTTCCAGCGATTTTTCTTGGCCGGTTTACTTATTGCAATCTTTTCCTCAAAGTTATACGATAAGTAGTTGCTGAGATACAGCCGGCGTCCATTCTTAGTTGGTCATGCACCCGGTACATATCATATGTAATATTAAAAATGTCATATTTATATTATTTATAATGTTTATTTTTTATAAGTGACCGAAACATTAGTCAATGTTTCATTAGTCAATGCGTCAATCAATTCTAATTTATGTCATACACCGGCAAAAAAAACCGGCCACTAAAGACTAGTCCCAATTTCAAAGTTGGATTTCTCGTGAACCACTCATTAGATTTTGCTGATTTTTTTTTAAATTGTGAATTAATTCCTCCTTAACAAATGCTACGTCAAACATTTTTATTCCGAATTTATTTTGAGCATATACAGGGCACAACAATAAGACGAAGTTTTTTGCCTGAACTTTGTAACAGCAGCTGTAGTATCTATTGCTAAATCATATCGCATTGTAGCCTCATCTTTTGTGAGCATTTTGTTTTTTTAAATACGACATTATCTCTGTTTGTATTGGAGATACGCTGCTTTAAAACAAACGCCTCGAAAAAAGCTTTAGTCCATTGCTCAATAACCCAATTCACATGTAAACGCGGAAACTGAAGACGTGCTCGACGATGTCTTGGAAGTAGCTGGTGTCCCGTGGCAGGCCTTCTTGCAGACAAGCTGTTTTCTTTTAGTCTTCGTGAGAATGTTTTTTCACTGACTTGAGTTCTACGCACTGCTTGTAGTAGATGTTGATTCTGAAACGCTGTATTTCTACGATTTCGTAAAGTATTCAGGACAATAAAGCGGTCGTCAATTACATTTGTCTTCCGTTTTCTTTCGGAACCCACTCGCCTGGTGAAATTTCCCGTTTCCATATACCGATTCAAGGCATCCTGGACTGTTGTTTGAGGTATACCCTGGGTATCGGACACATACCGTTGACTTCGGCCATCCTCAATTAAAGCCACAACACGAGCAACATCGGTCACAGATAATATGCAGATAATGGTATTTTTTAATTTGACAACCGTTGTCATTTGCAAATACTCATAAATCCGTTTTCGCCTATGTCACCTTCATTATTTATACATAAAACTTTCTGCCTGTGAAGCATTTTTCAGAGACGTTCGTTTTAAAGCAGCGTATCTCCAATACAAACAGAGATAACGTCGTGATTAAAAAAATAAAATGCTCACAAAAGATGAGGCTACAATGTGATTTAATTTAGCAATAGCTACTATACCTGCTGCACCCTACAGGGTGTTACAAAGTTCGGGCAAAAAACTTCGTCTTATTGTTGTGCCCTGTATATGCTCAAAATAAATTCGGAATAAAATTTCTGACATAGCATCCGTTAAGGAGGAATTAATTTCAATTTTAAAAAAAGCAGCAAAATCTAATGAGTGGTTCGCGAGAAATCCAACTTTGAAATTGGGACTAGTTTTTAGTGGCCGTTTTTTCTTTGCCGGTGAATTTATATTAAATACCAACTCTCGTGTTTTTGTTTGAAAAAATAAAGAAGTTATAGGGTTGAGCCACTTTTTGGCGGAGTGAGAATTAATAATAAAAAACTCGACTTGTATATTTGTTTTTTTACTCTACTTTTCGAATTAAATATATACAAACTCCCCTGCTTCTGTCCTTCTATAAAATATTGATGTCCGGGTCGTCTTTGAAGTGAGCGGCCCATAAATACGGGCCATCGGCTGAATAATGCAACGGGCCGATCTTTGACGTTGTGGACGAAAAACACTGTCCATTACCTTAATGCACTGTTACAGTGTCTCCACGACGCACTCCGTCTGATTAATATTGTATTTTGACCCGATTCGGCCGTCAGAGATGACGTCTGTCTTGAAGGAAGACAAGGCCAGAACGGAGACAGGGTACATGAATATAGTCTGTCCCAAGTCTGTCCAACGACAAGATCCTTGACAGTGATAGATGTGTCTGTCATTTTATTTTCAAAGTAGTTTATTTTATTTTACAAAGAAATAAGTTGGTACAATTGGAACGCATAGCAGGAAATTAATATATTTTAAAATTTGACTGACAAGTGATTACTTCAAAATATTGTGAAAAAAACTGTATAAAACTGAAAAAATGTAATCGAGTATTTTATTTAAAAACGGTAGGTATGTGTTTATACAAAACAAGCAAGAACAAAATACCACATACCAAAAAAATATAAGAAAAAGAACTATTTATTACTTTCAAGCTTCAAGAAACTTCCCGAATTTATTATTATATTTATCAATATAACTTACCTATGTACATACCAATACAAACTTGTAATATTCCACAAGAATAAATAAAACAATATAAATAAAACAAACTATTTTATTAATAATAACACTTACCAACTTTTATATCTTAAAGGTTGATTAATTAACTTTAATCTTAATTTTTTTAAATCAGTACCTTTTGACATTATTTTTCTGCAGTACATGTGCAGTACTAAAATCCATTATTTACCTATCGTGTGATGTCGATATTTTACAGCTACTTCAGTTTTTTAGTATATGTTTAGTACGATCCTTTTTTTATATGTTTAGTACGAGCACCATATACGAGATGCTCTTATCTACGACGAGATGGTATACAAACTTTATTGATGGTAACTTTATTGGTGGTATAAGACTCTGCCTGGGCAGCGAATATTAACTATAAACTGTGCTCTGGGTCTACAGTTAATTTTCCGTCGATTTTTCCTCCACTTGACTTCAAAAAACATAAAACACACGTAATAACACGAATCAAAATGCATCATCATAGATAAACGAAACAAGTTTAGATTGGAAAGTGCCCATAAGGACAATGTAAACTCTATTTGGCGCTATTCTTGCAAAGGTCGCGACCCAAAGCTTTTGAAAATTTCGGAGCGGTTCGGCTTTTTCCGGAACTATATCGCCAAATATTATTTATTCAAATTTATTATTATTTTCTTTTAATTTTATAAATAAAATACAGTGTGTTGCATACAAGAAACTTTATTTTATATAAGGACATGTATGAAATACCTATGAAACATTAGAAACCGACGTTATGCCACGATGCACGATGGTTTTTGCAGTTCACAGCTTTTTAAGTTTTTAATGCCACTTTTCCACAATTATCACGGGTTGGAGTAAATAAAATTTAAATTAAACTTACAAGATAGCAATAATTACTTGGAAAATGGACGCTATAAACACTTTTTGGATTTTTTTCAATGAGAGCGGTTTAGATTTTGAAAGACTTTTTAATTTTTGAAGATTCTGACTTTGACGAGAGAAAATTATTTCTGTTTGTGTTTGCGGTTGTTCTTAGCAACCGTTATAGCAGCGCCAGATCGCGTACAACGGTCGCGACCCAATATAATTTCGCGACCCAAAATTTTGACGGGCTTTCCAATCTAAACTTGTTTCATTTATCTATGTGCATCATCTTCCAAAACGCAGGGTATTTGACATAAGTTGACACAAAATTATAACCTATAATTTAGCAAGACTTTGACAAGCCTCAAAAATCTAAAGGCGAGTTCATACGCATCGGCGTCCGTTTGTCGTTCATCGTTCCGTCAAACCAATAAAATCGAAGTATCATCTGTCATTTTTGAAATAAACCAATAAAACTGGTTAAAACCAACAAGAGACGACGTATGACGGATTTATATTTAAACCCATCCATATTTAACTTAAAAAATATTAGAAACTTTTTTAGTAAATTAAATAGATTGGTCCGTTATCTGCTTTTCTTCTGCCATCGTCTGTCGAATCTTACCTGTACAGAGTATATATGTTGTTACCTATAACAGAGTATATATTGTTAGGTTTTTGCTGGGTTCTGCGTGGATAATCAAAAGTCTAATTCAACTAACGAAGTTTATCAACCTTTAGTCGCTAATGTGCGGTTTACGGGAGCCCAGTAACTATATTTATATTAGTATTAGCTGATAACAACATCTTGATATGGGCAATGTGGCAGCATAGGCTTGGTGAATTTCAGTTGATTTTAAAACTTCTGACCACAGTGCTCGTTACGGCAGAAATTAGAAGTGTTAAACTAAAATATTTCAGGCAGTCCTTTACCGTTTATGTCAAATAACGGATAGTAAAAATGATGTGAAAAAGAACCCGAAATGAACGTCGCGTTGTGTTGTGACAATTTCAAATATTAGTAAAATTGCCGAAAAAATGTTAACGTGTAAAGGCTAGCGTAATTAAGTAATTTTTGGTTACATAACATTCAATAACTCAACTCTTTCGGATATTCCGCTCTCCCGAAATAACATTTTAGAGCTTCACAACTTCTCATATCGATTTGATCAAAAGTAAAAATGGGTTCAAGCAGTTCGACGAAACAAGTGAGTAAACAAAGTACTCATTACATAATCAAAAAATTCAACAGGTATACACTATGAGGATAAAATATAATTTGATCAATATTAATGGTATACTTTTTTTTAATCAAGTAGTGCTTAATTGTTTTATGAACATCTTCTAAAATTATAATTATGTACCTTTAAAAAATTTCGTGATAGCCGAAATAGCACCAGTTATGTCCCCAGTAGCAAAACCAGTGCGTAAAACTATGCTCATTACCGTAGTTGAACTCATCTAAAAACATTTATTTCCTTGAATAATAAATTATAATACAAGTTAAACCTTCTGAACATATCAAAATATTTACTTTCTTATTTTTAGTATTTTCACAAATTATAGTTCCCCTTTTCTGTATTCGCTATTTAAACCCGTGTATTTGTTTAGTCCGCTGTTTACAGTATTGTCTGATGGTGGCAGCGGAGGTGTTCGAGACCTCACGTTAGAAAATCTTCTAGATTAAAATGGGCGGTATAAGATTTATCAAAAATGTTTTACTGTTTGATGTTGAGATAGAGAGAGAGAGAGAGAGGGGAGAAACGGAGATGGAGAGAGAAAGAGAGATTTAGGAGTGTTAAATAATGTCAATTCAAAAAATGTTATTTCGCATCAGATAATATAATAATAAGTCAGCAATAAGAAAAAGAAACTAGTTCAAAAACATTAAAAATCTTTATATAACCTAGTACGAGTTTGTGTTACAATTTGTTGTTTATTATTAACCCCATCACCGTACTCGTTAGTAACATCTATTAACTCGCATCATTCCAACAATAATCGACACCAGTCCATGGACCGTCAACCGTATCCCCCTCTGCTCCCATTCCGCCCGTCAATCCCTCCACTCTCCCCCTGTATGCCGACGGCGCATGTTGGCGTCTGGACGGCCGCAACCGAGCGTCCTGCCGCCGGCATCGGCGTCCAGTGCCGCGTCAGCATCATCCAGGAAGCCGTCCACAGGCGCCGGGCAACGGATTTGGCAACGTGGTCAGTGACGTGAGGATAGAATTTTTCGTTGTTCGAGTATTGTTTTGGTTTTAGGCTGTTTTTTCGACCTGAAGGGACTAATTGGTGAGTGGTTAGAAGAATAAAATTTGATATGTTTTAAAAATAATATATAAAATAATAAAAATTCATTTACTTTATTTTTTCGTTTTTTTTCAAAATATGAAAGGAAATAATGTTTTATTTGTGATAATAATCAAGACAGTATAAATGGAATTGATAATTGATATTTAATTTTATACATAACTTCATAGAGTATGATGCACATGTTCTTTTTGCTAAAAAGTATAGAATGGTATACATTATTTATATAAAATTATACCAACAGTATAAAGGAACAAATTAAAATACATTTTATACTTACCCAGTTGTTAAATAATAATTAATAAAAATTGCTTTTCTAATTTACTAATAATCTCTGGAATATACAATATGTCCCCAGATTGTCTTTACAAGAGGAAACACTTATTGACATTTTGAGAAAAATGCATTCTTCATAAATTTTTTGCTATATTTGAATTCTAAGCATTTATTTTGAAAGTTACTCTGATATATTAGTATATCAGAGTAACTTTCATAAAAATATTAAAATAGATAAATATTAAAAATATAGTTTATTAAAAATAAATTTTGTCTACAAGCTAGTAATTAAATCACAATATTTTTGATAAAACTTACATAAGTATAGTTAACAGAAATATATAAAAACTATTTCTTTATAAGTGGAATGTTTCTTTGACTAGTAACTTCAAAATTACATTGACTTATTTTATAAACGTAATACTTATAGTAAACACTTATAATATGAAAAATATTCATGAGAGTGTATTAAAACAATATAAAACCTTACCATAGATGTCAATTCTGTTTTCAGTTCAAAAACAAACCAGTATTTTCTCGACGCCCAGGTCTAAATTTAATAAAATTATTTTTTTACTATTTCTCATTGACAAAAATACATTTAAAGGATATTATATGTATTTTTTAGGCAACCAATTAAACTAGTAACCTCTAAAAAATATTTTTCCTGCCACTAGCGACATACCGTGTTCTTAGTTAATACTAAATTATTATATCAAAATTTCATCATATAAATAAAAATAATATAATATATTATAATTATAATTCTATCAATAAAAATCTATCAAAGAATAAAAATGAAATTATGTTACCATAACAACACGTTATAATTTTTTCTAAAACGGTATTGAAATTTGGGAAAGTATAAACTCTTATAAGCATATGCTTATTCTAAAATGGTTAATCACCATTTTAAAATAAGCAAAATTTTTTATGAAGAATGTATTTTTTTCAATAAAATAAACTCTTTTAAAGACAATCCGAATCCGGGGACATACTGTAGATGGTAAATTTAGATTTTTTTTATTAAGACCAGCTACTTTGATCGTTTTTAGTGTTACCTGACTATAGGGTAATATTGGGGGTGGTTCACATTTTTTCTAAGGCACCCCAAAGTAGTGATGTGTCGGTATTTGAGTAACGCGATTTTGGAGCGGTATTTTTTTGTAACGTCGTGTCGCGCTCCACAACGAATCAGGAACCTGTTACTGAAGAACGACGATCATAATGACGACAAAATTATAAATTATTTATAATTTGCAAATAAATTATTTATAATCGCACTTGAAGTTAGCTCGAACCGTAGTAACCGCATAGCGACGTGTTTAGCTCCAGCCGTCGCGATTTCGTCGGTGGCCAACAGTAGTATCTGGAACCGGTAGATATGTCCATAGCGCCGCGCGATCTCGATCGGGACGTGTTCGCTCCAGCCGTCGCGTCGCGTCGCGCTCCTAGAGTTGTAGTTCCCTGTCGCGAACAGAAGTAACTGCTGTAACTGGGCATCGACGCTCGACCTCGGCGGCGACCTACTTCGCTCTAGCCGTCGCGCTCCTATAGTTTTAGTTCCCTGTCGCGAACAGAAGTAACTGCTGTAACTGATTATCGACGCTCGACCTCGGCGACCACGTTCTTCGTTCCAGCAGTCGCTGGAGCTCTTCTAGGGTTTCGGTTTTGGCCTGTCGCGATTTGGTCGGTTACTATAGGCGTTGGTGCTCCCGTCGCTATGTTACTTTCGAAATAGCGATTTTTGGTATGTACTAGGCATGGTATAAAATAGCGTTTTTTGAAAGATGAAACGCAAAAGTAAATAAAATAAAATAAAAATATTTTATTTGCTTTTATACATTTATATCAGTTTTATTGTTTATATCTTTTTTTAAGGTTAGGTTAGACCAATAAACAATTGTTTTGACAGTGGTTTGGACTTTGTTCTTGATTTTAACATTAAATATATTATATTGCAATACACATAAATATGAGCCGTTGATTATTTAAACGAAAATTGATGGAAAATAACAAGGAATGTCTTCGTTTTTCTAAAAAGGAGATAGATTGACTATGCACAATTATAAACTCGATATTTGGAAAATGAGTGGCGGATAAAAGTTTCATTAATCTACAAATATAGATATGTTAGATATATTTTTAACGAGGACCGCAACACTGGAAGTCGGAACCTCGGTTACAAAATCGCGGTATTTTTCTGTGTGTTTTTCGCATGTGGAACCGGTATTCCCATCACTACCCCAAAGTATTAAACTAGGCCTCGCCACTGAGATATAACCAAAAACTGGTTATATGATGTTATGTATTAAATTGCCAGAAGTCACTTTTCTTAAAATATTTAGTAACTTCTCGCTAACTCCAGCGTCTCTTATTTTGTTGGTACGTTGTCATTTCCACCCATTCCGGCCCTTGTTAGCCCTAATGAAAGGAGTTGCGGTTTCCGCTGTCCTTTCTAACGATCACCACTAATGAGTGGCACAATCGCCGGCAATTCTGAGGATGTAACGAGCCAGACAGTGCAATATTGCTATTGTAGATCGCCATTAGTGGTTAGGGTATCTTTGCAGGAAGACGACACTTTACTTTGCTTTGAGCCTTGTAAGCAAAGTCTTAAAGTATAACGATATTTTCTATATAAAATATTCTAAATATAAAAATTGACGGAAAAATCCCTAATCAGAAACCTGAGCTTTTCGAAACGCTGTCTGGGTTTATTTATTTTCTTGTACTCTCAACGGGAATGATAATAAAACCGTGATATTATTTTTCGAACCTTTAAATACATTTTTATTCTCAAAACAATATTGATAAACTTATTGAAAATATCAGGAAACGAACTAGATAATACGATATAGTCAACTTTTTCTTCAATTTAATTTCGTATCGATAGCGGAATGAGCTTCTGAGGAGAGGAGCTAGGAAGGGGCATCAATATATCGATACATTTGAAATATCGATATATAGAAAAAAATATACTTATAAAAACAAATAAATTAAATGTCACTATTAAATAATACTCCAACAAAATCCACTGATTAAAATACTAAGGAAAAAAACAATTACAATTCTTAATGTTCATACAGGCTTGGTGCATTACAGCTGATTTTCAAAACAACAGTATAGGAGACCAGTGAAATTGAGCCCAGGGCTTTGGTATTTTAAAAAATGAAGAATAATTTAAAAAACACATTTTCTGAATAAAACGTTTACATGAATTTCTCTATGAATAAATTTCATAGACTTGGGTATCAAACCGTGTTCCCGTAGATTACTTAAATACCTACAAATTTTCTAAAAAATAAAAATTAACACATTTTTTTAACCACAACAAAATAATATTAACTAAACAAAACTAGAAAACGTCATTTTTACTACAACACAAGCAAATAAAAATTAATACGTAGCCAAGAGTCATAATTCAAGATTTCTCTGAGGGGTGCCCAGCAGTATCTAGGGGGGGCTCAGCACCCCCGGATACCCCTGTAGTTACGCCAATGAATTATGTAAATATAATAAATTTTACACTAAGAAACAAAACAATAACGATAAAACTACTTAAAGAACTATTTACAACTTATTTACTATTTAGACAATGGCCCAGCTATGTCGAAACACCAGTTCCCATTAGAACACCGAAGTTAAGCGACGTAAGGCGATACTAGGGGATGGATGGGTGACAGGTTCGAAACTCTGTATCGTGCTGTTGTCCAAAAAAGGCAAAAGTGTAAAATCTATTGACCCACACTGCTCATTCACGCCGGTTCGAGGCCGGATGCGATCAGATATCTCGTGAGTAAGAGTCGATTTAGACACTTGCCAAGTCGGTAGGCCATTGACCATGATATGGCCGAGGACCGCGGTTCGGATTCCGCGTAAACAAAGTAGGCCCCGGTTAGATTAGCCCTGGCAGCAAAAAGGAGACGTTAACTTCAAATTTTTTACTTTACTTTATTTACTATTTATCTAAAAGGAATTTATTTAGAATTTATCGCGACAATTGTACGCATCGACCGATCTGTTTGTTTCTGTCCTCCTCAGGCCCCAGGCCGAATCGCCGAGTAGCGACAGTCCCGTTTTTAATTTTCTTTGCGGCTGCGCGAAATAAGTAGGTTATCTGTCATATGAAGAAGCGAAGTTGCCACTGTTGCCATTTATCAAATATCTCTATATACTTTATTTCAAGTATACCTCAGGCAACGAATCGTTTTTTTAATTATTTATTATCTGTAAGATATTTTATACATTCAAATTTAGAAATAAGGATAAAACAAAACAAAAAAAATATGTATAAAACTTTATAATTAATTCCACTTCAAATTATGAGCAGTGTATACCATGTTTATAGGACCACTTCATAAGTTGAGCAGTACGTAGTCTATCTGTCAAACACGTTAACAGAGAGAAAGAAAATTTGGTCCCACCACATCAAAAGAGCCGACGGTTTCTGTCGCTACTCGGCGATCTACTTACTCTGCCCAGGCGTCGGATTATATATGAGAGAAACCAATGACTAAAGAATATAAGGACATGTAACGCCCCTAACGGGCTGCAGCAGAATTTGTGACCTTTTTTTTGGTTTGGTGGCAAACAATGAGTCATCATTTGGTCACCAGCGACAATTTTAGCGATTTTTAATAGTTTGTGTGTAGTAAACTTTGTATAAACTTTATTACAATGGTGATTAGTTGTTCAGCTTTCAA